AGACTTACCTTCTACGAGTTCAATTTTAAGCCCTACATCATTTTCAGGTCTACAGATACCACATCTTCCTCCGCATTTGCCTATAACTTGTTGTCCTTCCTTAAAAGAGATAAAAAATATATATTTGAATAATTTTTGACACACGAGAAAGAAAAGGTTTTCAGATTACTGACGTGGAAGGCATCAACTGAGAATGGCTGCCTTGAGGATGGTATGTTCGAATTGTTGGACCCATAAAAGCAGTAACGTTTCATCAGGGGTTGAAACGTGAAAACTAACAAGTAACACCCTTCGAGAAGAGTCTTCTTTTGTCTTCTTCTTGATAGAGAAGTAGAAAAGGAGGCTCTTCCTGAACCGCGTTAAGCCTTTGAGAAGTAGCCTGTGTACAGACTCCCCTAACCTCAGGAAAAATCGGAGAATGGGCGTCTGTGATTCACCGTTGCTAATCGTGTATGGAGGCCACGTGATTTTTCTCGGAATGTGTGGAAAATGATTTGATTGGCAGTTACTTGTAGATCACTACATCATGTAGGGGATTGGGGGGGGGGGGGGGGGGGAATCTAAACACAGGCCATTAAGAAGTCACCGCAACCCGAACTTCCTGACTATTCAACCTTGTTTTCTTTCGTCAAATTGATTCTCCTGTAACAAGCACAAGGCTATTAGGCCAGGGTTGGAAAATGTATCCTAGCGACATGCAACGCATGCTTAACAAAGATCTTCCTCGATTCATTCAGAGTCTTTCTTGGGCACGCCAAAACCGAGCAAGCGACAGAAAGGTTCTGCTGGCAGGGTTAACAAGTACTTGATGCCCGAGTATTTGTCAATTAGTTATGTTACATGATGTACAAAGCACTCACCGGATATCTGTAGATAACTTGCGAATATGCCTGGCCTGTTGATCCCCACATGACCTTCGAGGTTAATCTGATGCCAGTTTCTTTTAAATTGATGCTAAATCGACCCTAAAAAAGACAAGACCACGTGTCAATTCTCAAGGTAGGCTCGATTACCAGCCGCTGTTCGGGAAATGAGCCCGCGCTCCTCCGCTCGGTACTTACGGCTGCCGCTGGAACATGGTGGATTGTATGACTCTAATAAAGCATGAATATAACAAGTAATGCATTGTGTTCTTCTGTAACTACCATGGCTCTGTCAGCAACTTTTTTTTAAACATAAGCCACAAACTTTTCACAACATCTAAAATCATTTTCGATGCAAAGGAAGGGAGTATCAAGAGGCCACGCGCGCGCAGTTCGTGGGCAAGGGATGTGACCCAGTTCTCTCACGTCCTGTGCCATTCCTCTCTAGGGTTCAGCCACAAACAGTAGTGAGTTTACGCAACATTACGGCAGGAAGAAGAGGACATCACAAAGCTTGTGTGTCACAAACGCGACAGGGCTATTACTTACGTGTTTTGTCGGGATCTTCACTTAACATTAATGTTTTCTGGTCTTTTACAAAAAGTTCTGTTTAAAGGAAGGTGAAGTTTGGCAAAAAGTTATTCCAAAGAAAATTATTGTCACGCTTATCACACAAGGTTTGCTGTCTTCTTCCCTCTCTTGTCCTGTCGCGTAAGTTCACTAATAACAAGAAACTGAATAAGGCACCCTGATTAGCATATGCAGTTCACATCTAGGTCAGCGGTTAAACCTGGCGCANGCTATTACTTACGTGTTTTGTCGGGATCTTCACTTAACATTAATGTTTTCTGGTCTTTTACAAAAAGTTCTGTTTAAAGGAAGGTGAAGTTTGGCAAAAAGTTATTCCAAAGAAAATTATTGTCACGCTTATCACACAAGGTTTGCTGTCTTCTTCCCTCTCTTGTCCTGTCGCGTAAGTTCACTAATAACAAGAAACTGAATAAGGCACCCTGATTAGCATATGCAGTTCACATCTAGGTCAGCGGTTAAACCTGGCGCATGCTTTTTGTGGGTGTCGTGTCTTCTCGGGTCATACCACCTTATGGTGTCAGAAGTGAGGTAAACCAGTGCCGTACCCTGAACCTAGTTATCTCTATGAGGTTTAATCATGGCTCACATTTGAATTAACTTTTAAAGTGTTATAGCCATTTACAAAGACGAGTTTTCTTCAGTTACAAATACTAGTTCATCGAACGGTGTAAGTAATGTTGGGAGCGATTTTACATTTACTTATAGGTCGAAATTAGCGGCCAACAATGCGATTTTCGGGAAAAAATCTTCCGTTACCTAAACGGATATTTCAGATTCTAGAAACTGTCTTGTTTAAAATTGTAAAAATAAAATTTGAAACAATTTTTTATCCTATCGAAATCATGAGGCAACAAATATAACTGAGCTTTCTTATTGGTTACTTCGAGGTCACATGACATCTAACAATGAGACTGTTTTCCGTCAAAATATGAGCGGGCAACATTGCAAAATCTATGACATCAGGGGGTAACAGTGCACTGTTGCCCGCTAATGTTGACCGGCAACTGCCGTTACAGCGAGGTTTAATGAATTTCCAGGTTCAAAATTTCCAGCTATATAACAAATCACTTAAAGACTGGTCCCTCGGGAAACAGTTAATTTTGTTTCCCTCGAAACCAGTCATTAAGTGTTTATTTATGCTAGACAAACTTACTATACGTGAACCTCGTCCGAATAAAACTCATATTTCAAAAGTTTTTGTTAATAACTATTATTGTTTTATAATTTTATTTCATACCTGTGGGCATCTTCCCTGGGCACTGTAACAATCCCCTGCTGTCCCGTATGCCGGGGGATTTAACCCTCTTGTCGATGCAAACTCTTTATCTTCCGCTAAAGAGAAGAAGATTTACCCCTGTAAGCGTTTATATTTCTGATGTCAGGGACTTCCGCGGAATTATAGTTTTTACCGTAAATCCTCTGTTAAGCCCTCCTCTCAAATAAGCCTTTCCCATTTTCAGGGAGGGAGTTTAATAAGCCCCCTCTCCTCCTCCTTATTATTCTTCACTACTAAATGATAGACTGTATCAATCAATCACGACTGTAAAACTTCGTGTGGACTGATCTAGCAACTGGAAGTTAAGGATTTGTTTTTGATCGTCGGCTGCATGACCTTCAACTTGTACTCTTGTACTTGGCCATTTCCACTATATTATAGTTCTTTATGGTAAATTGATACCATTATCTTTGCTTAATTAAATAAGTCCCCCGCCCCCCGCCCCCTCTTAAATAAGCCCCCTTCTCAAATGTGTTTGGAATAAATAAACCCCACAGCTTAAACATAAGCCGTGGGGCGACACGTCTTGAGCATCTTACGACACGTCTGTAGCATCTTTCAAAGCAATGTCACGTGATGCGATTCAGGGCAGATAGTCGTAGAAAGTTACCCACAATCCCTCAGTACTAAGGGCTGGTTTCAGGCATTTCATCTGTTAAGAATTCGGCATTCCACATTTGCACATCTCCCATAATGAATCTTGTCCCTACTGTCTTTAATTTTTCCTGGGACAACTGCAATACCCAGGAGAAATGAAAAACCAAGGTTATGCAAAACTTTGCGGGGCAAACGGGGTGTATTACGGGAGATGTGAAAATGATGAATTCCACTTTTGCGCTTAGTCAAATTAACCTCTGTGGCAATTCTCTCAGTATCTACGCTCAAAATACTTCTAAATATTTTGAATCTGATAAGTATGTGGCCTGTGTACTTACGAATTATTTTCATTGCTGACAAATCTATTCTGATTTTTGAATAATAGGAGGCGCCCGACTGCTGATAGTCTTCATCCTCGCAATCACATTCTTCAAAGTGCGAACCATTTCCCGGACACTGCCATGCATTACGTAATCTAGGAAACAGGAGTAAACAAGAGGCTTAATTAACTTGGCTTAATTATCTTGTGTCTGTTGTTTTTACCCCATGAAAAGCGTATTAAAGAGATGTAAAAAGTACAGACATAAACAAAAAAAGAAGATTGAAAAGAGATCATCGGAGAAAGATCCGCCGCATTAGACACTCACGTCTATTCTCATACCCTGATCTCTTGTACGAGATTTGCTCACGTCCCCAATCTAGTCTCATGATCCTATGAACTTAACTTAACAATAAGACGGCACGGGAAAAAAACGGCAAACCTAACAAGCGCGACAATGATTCTGTTTGAAAATTTTCCACCAAACTTCACCTTCCATTAAACAGATCTTTTGGTAAAAGACCAGAACACAGTAATTTTAAGTGACGATCGCGACATCTGTCACGTTTGTCACAAACAAAAACGTTTTGCTCTCACTTTTCCTTCTGCTGTCCTGTTGCGTGAGCTCACTATTGTCTGGTACCCAATCAACTGGGCTTATAAGCCGACAGCTAGGACGATAATATTACCTTTTGGGGTAAATTTCTGCAAAGTTATTAGCAGGGCCTGTTCTGAGAGTAATGTACTCTTTAGGCTCTTGTGACATCATTGCGTGACAGTACACCTGAAAGAAACATGATGTATATTTCTATAAAATACTTCTCGAGTACATTTTTCTTGAGCCACAAGGGCATGCAGAGGAACCAGGAGAAGAGCTAGAGAAGTACTAGCCAAGGCGGCCCTTAAAGTGCTCTTAAAATTCCCAAGTGCTTATAATTTATTTCCTTTATAAAATGGTTGCCAAAGACGCGCGAGCTCGTGTTGGCGGTTAACGTAGAGCACGAGCGGTCGTTCAACGTTTCATTTTAAGTCGAAAATCTTCTCAACAGCGACCGCTACTATGGTGACAGAGGTAAATAATAAATGTAGGGAGGTGGCCATTGTAGAAAGGATGAAACGAGGTTCTTTGTCTCCTGTCGGCGTAATAAGCTATCCGCTATAGTATGGACATCTGTTCACACTGCGTCAAAGAGTGGTGCGGAAACCCATGCGATAAGTGACGATCCACTTTCAAGATCGACGCGGCGCAGTTTTGCTCTGTTACAAAAACCTCCCTTTAATCACTGTTCTCATGTGTAAACGGAAGCTCTATCCGATACGGCTTACGTGCCGGCGCAAGAGCTATCCGATCATGAGTAGACATAGAGTTAAAGTTACGTTCACACTGTCTCGGATAGTTTTCGTGGCGACACGAAAAGCTATTCGGTATATTGTGAACAGAACTGGAACAAGTCGTTCATACATATCAAACATCTCGCCGGAGCGGATTGGCTGAGAGGGTTTGGTTTACTTCCGTCTCAATAGATTCCAGTCCTCGCTCCTATTTATTCACTTCCGCTACGGTCCGAATACCTTTTCACACTGCACCAAATTTAGGTTTCTGGGAAACTGCCTACCTGCCCCTCCCCTAACCCAACATTTTGCCCTAAGTGAGAAGTAAGTGTTAATGTTGACTTAGGGGAGGGGTAGGTGGGGAGTTTCCCAGAAACCTAAATTAATCCGTAACACATAACCTATCTGATGTGTGTTCCCTTCCTTTCGCGATCGGCATGGCGCAGCTTTGCTACAGTTACAGAAATCGGGGGTTGACCGTTAATAGAAGCTCGACAGTGCATTTCATAGGTAACAAAGGATTTGTTATGTTTTAAGATTATCATACCTGAAGTTCTCTTCCTTGAACATTCAGTGACTGTTCACCGTCATTCTGTAATCCGCTAATCAACTGGATGTCTTTGCAAGTTTTTGGTGGACCTTAAGACGAAGGAAATAAAATGAAATTACTTAACCTCGACATTGTCACATTTTTCACGTTTTGACCAGAGCATTTGTCAACTTGCGTTGCGTCAGTTTATTTTTTTGTGCATGCGTGCACATATTACGTGCCTACATTTGCCATGTGTATTTGCACGCATTGCGTACCTATCTTGGGGTAGAGACGTTTTACTGTACTTACATGCTTTCATCTGACATGAGCGCGTGTCTTCTGGTTTCCTTGATGTTGGCGTTGTGCAGAAAGAGTCATCAATGTAACTTCCGTTTCTTGCGAAGCACTTTACAAGTCTTCTCATCACTCCATGACCACAACTGACAGAGCACTATAGAAATAAACAAGTTCTCATTTCAGTTTTCGATAGTGTTACTTTGAAATCAAACCTCGCCAACTGAAAAAACCGACATATTTAAGGAGGTGCACTTGCAAACAACAAAATGGCCTTTGGCCAAGAAAAAGACAATAAGAACGCCACGGGTTTATCGGTCCTTGGACCTGTCAAGTGTCACTCTATCTAAATTTCGTTAGAGAGTTGGTTTGTTTCTTTGTCTCATCGGAAAATCGGGTGAAATAAAACCGGTGTTAGATTGATTAGTATAGGTAATAGCATGATTTGTAGTGATATTTGGCATAAATACCTCGAGTGATATTTCAAAATTGTTATGCGTAATTTCCGAGCCATCAGGTGAGTGAAATTTGAGACAATTTTGAAATATCACGAGTGGTATTTACACCAAATATTACCTAAAAATCTTACTATTATTTGTATATACTACTACCCGCCAAAGGTTTGTAATTTTCACATGTAGGTATTTCAAATTAAGCAGAAATACAACTGCTCTAAGCCAAACAGATTACAGAAATTTCTCATGTAGTAGTATAAAGGGAGAAAGCTCTCGTCACTTTTCGATCCCTAAAACATATAGCGACATTGAGAAAAGTGCAATTGTTATATTTTTGTAATGCCACTTGCTCGGGACAAACAATACTTCAATGCTCACGACATCGACTCCATGGCATCTCAGAACACAGAGTTGGTTGCTGTACCCCCGGAAAAAGAGGAACCAATGGAGACTACTTGGAAATTTTTCTCTCTCTCCCAGGAGTGTGCTGAAATTCACGCTATTTCCTAACTGCTTTAAAAAAAAAATTATCTTTTCCCCTTATGGCCCAGAGACAATGACACAAATAATTCAAATGGAACACAGCAATGTTAAGAATCACAACTGGTAGGAGACGAACCAGTTAATTATTTCACAAGTGTGGCCGAGGAATCGAATTCGGGCCTACCGAAAACAAAACCAGCTGGCGGTGAGGGCCAGACTTGCATGCGGGGCCTGCAGATTACAAGTCCAGCGCTCTAAACGTGCGGTCACGCTGCCTCCACGCTTAGTTTCATTATACTCCATTACCTTAGACCATTTTTCCACTGTCCAGAAGAGAAAGCTGCCACATTCTCCCCTGTTGCATGGCCGCCATACAGGAGGCTTGGTCCGTTTGTCACAATCAGTATTACCAACACACTCTACTACTCTGTACTGATAGCCACGTGCACACGTCCTTGAGCACTGCGAGACAAGAATATCAGACCGTTAAGAAGTTAACAGTAGATAATTACAAAAGGTGTTGCTGATACCGTAAACAGCAGTCCATAAGCCCACGCCCCACTAACAAACCCACCTAACTAGGCCCATCTACCTGTAAACAACAACAAAAAATACATCCGATAATAAGCCCCTCCGGCTATATAAGCTCCCCTCTAACTCCGATTATAAGCCCCCCCCTGGATTCGATTTATTGTGACGTTTTGAAGCTTAATAAAAACCAGTACATGTAAAACGTATTTTGATCAGCGATGCTATACAGCTAATAGTTCGCTTTGAAGCGCTTTTTCTATCTTGTTTATAAGCCCCTCTCGGATATAAACCCCTCCGTACCGTCGTATAAACCCTCTTAAAACCCCTCACGTCTTACACAGTTTACGGTATCACACGAGCAGGTTTTAATCAGAACTAAGAAAGCTCTAGTCAATTTTCTCAAACTGTACCTCTGTAGGCCTTTTAGAGGTTGAGTTTGAGCCTGGGTCGTTGTTGCCTCCCATTGCATTATGGACTGTTGGAGCCTAAACCACCCAATATAACAACAAGCCTTGAATAACTGTAGTTAGGCCTTCCATTTCCAAAAGTGAGATAAGTAAAAATTCACAAAAAAACGAAATTTCGTCTTGTAAAATCCCTAATCCTATCTCTCCTATATCTTGTGGGGAGGAGTGTTACGTGACGACACTAAAAACGGCTGTGCAGCAGACTAGGAGTCGACTTACCGGTGACCAATCACCGTGTTTCCATTGTGAGGAACATTTCGAACCATAACAAGCAGCAGAACTTTCTGGTTTGGATTCCGGGTTACAAAGTGCGTCGCTGACGTTTTGTCTCGAAAGATCAACACACCAAATATCACGTGACTTTTGACCGTACCCACAGGAACTGGAGCACTAAGATGTGTGAGAAAACAAGTTGAAAATTGACATATAATTGTTAGGTAAGATAACATCGTCTTAAAAGCGGTTGTGACTTCTTATTGCTTTAGCATTCATTTTGATCACGAGAAGATTGAAAGTAATCAGAAAACAAACTTCTAAACAAATTCTCCAACAAACAACAACAACAACAATGTATTTATTTAAAGAAATATAAAGTTTGCAATACTTTATGTCCTGCAAATAGCTATAACGCTAATCTAGGCAGGACAAGACTTTAAATAAAGACGTTATTAAATTACATAAGAAAGAAGAAAAGAAAAGAAATACAAAAACATACATAAAGAAACACCTTACATATAAATTCAAGAACAGGGGATTTTGCTATTTGAAAAAGACTAAAATTACAACTGGAGGTATATACAACATATCAGGTTAACTTCACAAAATATTCTATTAGATAATTAACATTCAAATAATTATCTTCATTACCTAGAACATAAAGGAGTAGTGATTTAATTTTCATTATTAACGGAAGCAGGGAATGAAAAAAGCGGAGAATATGCAGCTGATGCCAGGTGTTAAACTACTGTGTTTATTTATTGTGCCAACTTTGCATCGTTGACAGAAAGAAAGAAAATAACGAGAAATTATCGGACACTAAATGTATATTTAAACAGTGCCTCATCTGAAGGCATGGCAAAGATTAAGACAGCTTATTTCAGTTAAAAGTGAAGAGGTTCCTATCAAGCCTTATTCCTTGACTGGTTGAATTAGGAGTCAGTAATATTTCAACATACCTCGCTCCACGTGGATGTTTGCCATTGGTAGATGCTACGAACACGTGGGCATGCTCTTTGGCTACATGGCTGTTGTTCAGATGGCCGCGTTCTGCTGTCACAGAACGTGTCGTCTTTGTAGTCTAACTGGTGAAGACACCTAACAGGCCGTCTTCTTGTTCCGTCACCACACGTTTTTGAACACTGGAAAAATAATCAAGAAAAGTTCTAACTTCTGAGATTCCTTACAATTTATATGAGGAAACCGTTGCCTAGTCCCTAGGCCTCATTATTCTGCGCGGCCGATACGTTTCGGGTCGCGTGATCCAAGCGAGTTTTTGTTCGTCTCGGATATGTCACCAAAATGCCTTGACCGAGAGGTCCTGGGGCGACGCCGTACAGGGGCGAGGCAAGGAAAACCGGAAATTCCGGTTGGAAAGTCAAATAGTTCGCGCCATTTGTTTGGAAAGCTTCAGAAAACATGTGCTGTGATTTGACAAGATGCAAATCAGTGTTTCTTCTTGAATGTCTCTCCAGCTGATTTGGAGACACTTTAAAGCGGGTCGTTCTCCTGCAACGTCAAATTTAATGGCCTAACTTTTGTGCGGAAGATTTCCAAAAGCATGGTTTGTGATGGTAAGCACCCTGAGCCAGTTTGCATTATAAGGCAGCGTGAGGAAGCGAGGTAAATATTCACCTCGACAGTGACAAGCAATTTTACAAGCAACTTGAAAATTTAACAGAGAAAGTTTGTTTTAGTTCTGTCTGTTTAATGCGCTAGTTTAAAGGAAAACGCCGGCGCGAATAGCTAGCTTAAGCTTAGCTTTTAGAGTTTTTAAGCGACGCACGGCAACCGGAAGTGGACTTCTCTCCCTTTCAGAGTAAAGACGTTTTGCAAGACAAATTCAATAGCGTCAAGGCATGTTAAAAGGGAACAGGCCTTGTTCCCGGTTGATGTGCGTGGCTCAATAACGCCTCTGCATAAGCTCTCTAATTAGGACTGTTCAACGATTCCTTTTTATCAGCGTTTTGTACTCACCTCAGTCCACAAGCCGATTTCCCATTCACCGCAGCGCCGGTTCTTGTTACAGGAGCGTGTCATTCTAGGCTTATGCTCGCCTGCGCAATATTCATCCGGGACTCTTTTTCCGTTCTTTGCACTGCACCAGACATCACGTGACTTCTCACCAATACCACAATACACTGAGCACTGTGATTGATTAATAAATGCAAACATTAGTATAAATCAACTTTGTCATGACTTCAACTAACATGAAACTAATGGAAGTAGCAATTATAACATTTAACTACAACATTTTAAACAAAAAGAAACACCCCACCATACATTGAGAGACATCAGAGAGGGTACACTGGTATAGTTTAAGTAGGGGAAAAATAAAGCGATTTAAGACACTAGCAATACAACCCGAAGACAAAACAAATAACAAAAACAACAAAAACGGAAACAAACGAAAACAACAAAAATAAACAAAAAGGTTTAAACAGTTTCCCTCCCAGAAGTGGTTAAAAACAAAATTCGACAAATACAATTTCATTTTTCAAAATGGGAAAGAAAGAAATACCCGACCGGTGCTTCCCATATTTGGAAGACGCGAGCAACATACCATCGATTCGATGGTATATCTGATTGGAGACGAGGTTGATCGATGGTAGATTTAGTTGGAAACGAAGCCGATTATTCACGAGTGAACTAAAAATAATAGCGTTTAAGGTTATCCAAAGACGAAATAGCTGAAGTCTAAAGAAATCTGAACGGAAGAAATACAAGAATACGCTAAACATATCGCTCGATGGATTTTATATACTTTTCGAGGTCTGAGGAGTACTTTCAAGGAAAAACATCTCTTTATATCATGAAACCGTGCCTAGAAACAGGGACAAGGTCTGAAGGAAGTCTACGAGGGGGTAATCGTATTCAGAACTTAGAAACATTTTGAATGAATAATAAAACAATTATTAAATTCGGTTTTCGTTTGAGGAGGATGTCATCCACCTCGACTAATAACATCCTCCTTGATCTGCATAATTCTTCACACCATACTCAGCCTCATTCAATAATTGCATAATATCCTTACCTTCCCCCAGCTGCCTTTACGCCATCTAGCTTCCGGAATGCAGCTCTTGATGGTACATTCTGACTGAGTAGCGGGTCTCAACTTAGGTTCACAGGCTTCATCGTTAATTTGTTTTCGAGTGGTCATTGAAAAACATCCAACAGCTCTTCTTTTGATACCTTTACCGCATGTGCGAGAGCACTGCAAGGGAAATTTTAAGACCACAGTTACTTTTAACCGCGACAGGGCTATCTCGGTCACAACAGTGATGGGCTGCAGAGCGAGAGGTCACGTGTTCGATCTCCGGGGCCCGGATCCAATTCTTAGGGTCCTAAAATAACTAAGATATGAAGGTACTGCCTTTGCCCTACATACTGCTAGACCTTCCAAGGGCTCTGCAAGGCAAAGTTTTTTTCCTGTTTACTGTAACAATCATCGCTAAAGACAAAGAATATTTGAGCACGTTTTTCAAAGGGTTCACTTTCTGTGCCACTGTTTCTCAAGTTTACCTGGGTCCAACCACCCTAATTTTCTCTAGTTTTGCCTATTTGTACCATTAAGGCTTTTCTTAGCCTGTTCCAGGCTCTCAGCGCGCGTAAGTGAAAGGCAAGCAAAAATATGAGCGCGTGATATGGGAGAAGAGGGCGATGGCAGGAAAAGGAAAGTCCGCCGCCCTTCCTCTCCCCAGTTCCCTCCCGCGTTATTTCCGTGTTCGCTCTTTCTAAATTTCGTGGATCCGATCATCTCGGAGCCTGGAACAGGCTGGGCTTTTCTGTACTTCTTTTGTGTTTGCCAAAACTTTTGAGCTTTCATTTCCGTTTCTTATTCAGTTCTGTGTTCAGCTGATCAGTGCTGAAATCGTGTGACTCTACCCTTTTTAGACTGATTAAGAAGGTACAGTGTGTGCAAAAAAATATATATATCAATGACTCGATTGTCGAAAGATGCATTTGCTCTTAGCCACACAACGTTACTCCTAAAATAATCGACCTCTAGGGGTTTCTAGGTAGTGCAAATATACCCCTCCTACAGAGAAAAAGATGTTAACGAAGGCAACGCAGCAGAACCTCGATATAAGAAAGGAACAACGGACTGGCAAAACACGTTCGCTATATCGAGATATCGAGGTTCTTTTCCATTGTTAAATTGGTATTACTGTGGCAAAGAATATTGTTCGTTATACCCAGGACTTTGTTATATGGAAGTTCGTTATATCGAGGTAAGTAACTTACCACAGTCCACCTCCCTGTGTGCCATCTAGGGCAGCGCCCAAGATCACACTTGCCTGTCGCTAATGGTTTTGTTCTTTCGTCACATAAGGCGTCCACTCCGCTAACACACTCTATTTTCCTTTGTTTGATTCCGCTACCGCAAGTAACTGAACACTGAAACAAAATTGGTAGAACGACAAATATAAGATCGCAGATGTTGAAAAAAACTTTCACTTCTGGGCGTAGGGTTAAACTATCAACTCACCATTGTGTAACCTTAAAATATAATTAAGCGTCAATAGAACAAAAGGAACGAACAGTCTGCACACTAAACAAGATAAACTCTGCGACAGGCAGCCTAGTAATAGAAGAATGAGAGTATCTGTCGAAAATATTTAAGAACGCTTTGTCAAAAGGTAAGGGAACAGTTGTTGCGACAGCATAAAGATAAACGATGGTGCTCACGGACAGGTGGAGGGGAGGGAAGGGGAGGGGAGGGGAGGGGAGAGGAGGGGAGGGGTGTTTCTTTGCTCCAGTGCGTACCTCGGTCCATTCTCCAATCTTCCACCGTGGGCATTGGCCCAGGTTGCAGCTTGCTTGAGCAGCTGGCTTGGTCCCAGTGTCACAGGCAGAGCTCTTTGTATCCACCACCACACATTCGACCAGACGTTCCTTAACTCCTTCTCCACAAGATGCAGAACACTAAAACAGATTTTAGTCCAGAGTAAGCGGAGTTTTTTAAGAAATAAATAATCTTGACTTCTGCTAACTCTCAGACCTTCCCATATTCCTTCAGGCTAGAAGTGACAAAGACGATAAATTGAAGGTCTTGACTAAAACCCTTGCTCATTTAAAATACGTGGCCGGTGGGACTTTATAAGAACTCCATACACTGTCTGTAGAGAGTACGGGACGCAGTCCCTACTGTGGTGGTCTATCTTTGCCAGCATGTGGTCGGCCTGGCTGGTTAGTTTGCATTGAAGGGTCTTCTGAGCGAATGAGACCACAACACACATACAGTCAGAGGTGAGGCTATTGGATGGGTGTTGGTTGGAACCCTTAATAATTAGAGCTCAAGACTTAGTGATTCCTAACTTCTACTTTGTTGATTCTGCATTCATTCCCAAGTTCCCTAAGTAGATCTGTACACTTCTTCATACGAAAAAGCCTGAGAGCATTTCAATCAGTTACGATTTCTTTTTCATAGTATCTACCTTAGACCACGCATCAACTTTCCACCGTGGACAAGGAGCAGAACTGCAGCTAGTAGAACTTGCGGGTCTTTTTGAGGGATCGCACTTGTTGAACACTCCACTGCAGTGGACAGCCCGTGTTTTAATTCCACTTCCACAGGTCACTGAGCACTACAAAGGGAAAAGCAATTTATTTCTTAAAAGAAAGCCTGACCAACTGTAGAATTTTAATGTTCAAATGAAGAACACTTTTTACCAGAATTAGGCCATAAACAGACTTCGTTCAAGCGTGGCGGTGTTACTCAATAATTCCTTGCCAATAGACCAGGGTCGATAAATTATATTCTTACTAGGCTCTGAGAACACTCAGCAAAAGAAACAACCTAGAGGTTCTGGGATGAATAACACATTTCTTTTCTTTTACTCCCCCAAGCCTTAGAGCTAAGTATAAATTTTGATATATCAACTATATTACATCCGTCGAAAGGCCCTTTGACTTCCCAACCGTCTTCATAATTCTAGTGACGACACGCTTCGGTACAGAACGTTTTGCTCGCCTTTTCTGTTATTCAGTTAGCTATTTTACACTGGCGGAGATCTTTTCACGTCCGGAAATGCGAAACAGTCCGGAACACATCCGGATCAACGTCTAGACACTCCGGAACGTCATTAGTGAGGTCAAACTCCAGAGGAATAAAATCATTTCACTTCTGGTAACTTGTTACAAAACCCTTTGCGAGGAATGAAGTCACTAGAAATACGTGGACCAACCGAAGATAATAGGCCCTAACTTGCACAATAAAACAACAAACTGAAGGATTCGATTCTGGAAGTTGTAGTAAAATGACGTTATCACGCCGTTGTCCTATTTTTCTCTTGCTCTTCCAGATATCCGCTCACACTAACCTGACCCCAGTCCCCTATTTCCCATCTAGGGCATGCGCCAAGTTCGCACTTTGCAGTAGACGCTGGTTTGTTCGCCGCATCACACGTGGCATCTGATCTGCTGCACGTGACCTCACGTTGCTTCCTGCCACTACCACACGTAACGGAACACTAAGAAGAAAGTTGAGGACAATAGAATACGTGATCGACTTTTATATGAAGAGGCGAAGAAATCTGTTTTAAGACTTCTGAGATGCATTTGTAATTTGTTGCCAGGGTGAACTTAAGAAGACGCATATTTTTGAGTGACAACGTGAAGTGTTGGCAAGGCGACGGTGGGCAGGAGGAAGAAAGATTCTAAGTGCAACTTGTACATTTCTACAGCTCTTGGCGAGTGGGTCAGTCTTGGTGAGGGAAAGACCAACGAGCACGAAACGTGATTCAAGTGTAGGCGAAAAGAAAGATGAGACGCCGTGACGCAAACAGCGCATTGCAAGAGAGCTTGTCACGCAGGGTGACAAGCACGTCTGGTACTCGCAACAAAGTACACTTTTGGTATTTGATTTTTACCTTACTCCATTCTCCTGCAGTCCATGTAGGGCAGGTACCAGGGTTGCACCGCGCAATGGCTTCCGGTTTGGAAATAGAATCACATTTATTTGTTCCTCCGCTGCACACTACGGCCCGCCGTCTGAAACCATTTCCACAGGTGACAGTACACTAAAACAGGGTGAAAGGTTTGGACGCTTGTTACAAATGTATCAAGGCAAGACCGATGGATTTTTAGCAATTCACTGAATGCTTTGAAACTTGAATTTTTAGCCCTAAAGGATCTCTGAAGTATTTATAGTTGACATTTACTATAGAACCAGTAATAACCAAAGGTTAGGGAGTGCGGGCGAGAACGATCGGAGGTCCAAATGCCTTGCGTAAGTTTCACGTGACAGATGGTCAAAACAAGCTTGATCAGAGTACGAGGAGTAGAAGGTCGAAACGCGCATGATCAAATTGCGCTTTGTGCATTCCATTCGTTTTTAGTGGAAGTCCAAACGAATGCTGGCTACATACATGCGATGCATGCGAAATAACAACCTGCAGATTAGGATTGCGTGCTTCTCTTATCGACCGCAATTAATAGAGTGTACAGTCACCTCTCTCTTAACGAACACCTCCATATAGGACGGACACTTCTCTAAAACGAACACCTAGATTTAGTCCCTGCTTTCCTTTACTCCGTTCGGTGGAGTCTCTATAAGACGGACCCCATGTTAGAGCTCTCTCCTCCGCAGATGCTCCCGCTGGATATCCCAATAAAACTAGCAATACCGTAATCGAAATATAGAAAACGCGCAGGGGATGATAAGAAGAGGGAAAAGCCTCTTTTCTCTCATTCCTCTTCCCGTCGTGCCCCGCGCGCTTTCTTTTTCTTTCTCCCCAGTCTCGCTACGACACAAAGAGGCCTCTGCGGAGGAGGGAGATGTTAGACTGAGAGAGTTGACTGTATTAGCGGGGAAATCCTAGCCTGCGACTGACAAGCTCTCGATTTGGGGAATATCGTGAGAAGCGCGCTAGCGGTACGTGAAAGGAGACGCGCATTCTTTCGCGGCTTGCTTTACACGCCATTAGGAATGAAGAGCTTGCTCGCAAGTTTGAAAAAAACTTCCCAATCCTAACAACGTAAAACTTACCTTTCCCCATTCGCCGACCTTCCATTCGGGACACGAGCCAGGGTTACAGCTGGATGTAGCTTGTGGTTTCTTTCCAGCGTCACAGCTGACATCTAATCTGCTGCATGTTACCTCCCGTTTTCTAAATCCATCTCCGCAAGTAACAGAGCACTGGAAAAAAAAATTACACAACGCCTTACAAAGTTTTCTAATGAGTAGACAGCTCCTGGCTTCCGACGCAGACGTTCTTAGGGTCTTGTCACGCGTTCCCACGTAGACGTTCTTAAGGCTTTGTCACGCGTTGCTTCCCAACTAACGTGCGAAACGAACGCGAGACGAAGTCCTAAGAAAACCTCTGCATGCTGGGAGGCTAGCCAGCTCCCAACTTGCTATATAGCAAACATGGATTAGTTTTAGGGTGATAAAAGTCGATTAAAACCACGAAAGACGTCAGCTTCGGCCCCCAGTTTCAGGTGATGGTCACGTAGGCTGACCAAGATAGACGGGTGTGTGTTGAATGTTGTTCAGTCCATCAAATAGATGAACCTTGTATTAAAATTATATGTCCCTCCACCCCCCTCCTCCCGCCTAGATTAGTTTATAACCTCTTTGAGGGTGGGAAAATAATGTAATTACTTATATGTTGAATCTCAATAAAATTTGTTGTTTTTGTTGTCGTTGATGTGGGTGAATGAGATACTGCTTTCGTTTTCTAAACGTTGAGGAAATGAAACAGGGGAGGTAACTCAGGGTCTGCAAAGAGGTGGGTACGTGTCCTCAGCCCACATTCCAGCTCCTTTTCACGACAAACCTGTATCCCGAACTTCTGTCATCTTTTTCCTGAAAACCGTTTTCTTTCCTAATCAGTGGCGGATCTAGGGGAGGGCCGCCCCTTATATTTAGTCCAAAGTGAGGCCCAAAGGGCAGCAAAAAATGTCATTTGAGAAGCCGCCCCTTTATCTGAAAGTCTAGATCCGCCACTGGGCAGCAATACCCCTGCGGAGATTTTGGTGAATCCCACTTCCCGAGTGGCGTTCTAATCCGGGATCCCGAGAATATCCTTTCAGACCCTGGTAATAGCATTTCGTAGATAAGTAGATAAGTTCATTCAAAAGGTTTTTTTTGCATAAAGTGAACATACAGAGTGATCCTTACCCGGCCCCAGTTTGCAACTTTCCACACAGGGCAGGAACCAAGGTTACAGGTGTCCGTGGACGTGGGTTTGGTTTGTACATCACATTTGCCCCTATTTCCGCTGCAATCCACGCTGCGTGATTTTACGCCGTTCCCACAAGACACTGAACACTGATTGAGAAGTAAAAAAAAAAAAGAGAGAGAGAAAAAAGAGATGTCATGTTATGTCATATCTCCCAGCTTAATTTCACCAACCCGTGATAAAAGACATTTTCCTGCGGTAGAAAACAAGCCTTATTCTAACCGTGCATTGTCAGGACACATTGAATTCTCATCTTTCATCCTGAATTTTGTTTAAGTACTCCAGACTGCATGGTTTTCTTTTAGATTTTGCCTGGAATATCCGGCGAAAAAAGATAATTCCGTGTTAAACGAGGACTAGCCTGAGTGCAAGTGCTCCAGTTATGGCGAGCAGCGACAAAACGCACGAGCGAGCGGCGAAGCGGCGAGGGGCGGAGCTGCCTTTCGCAAGCGGCTCTCGCGTGGCTTCTCCCGCCTCCCCCAAATGGTGAGCTTGCTCGCAGGCTAAACGAGGATGTGATGGGCGTGCTGACGTCACGAAATGGCCAAATCGTGACGTCATTCCGCTCATAACACGAAAAGACTGTCACACTAGTTGTTAAAAGCGTCGCTTCGTCATTGCTACTTGACGATTATATCAACTTTCGGTTTGTACCTGACTCCATTGTCCAACTTTCCACTGTGGACAGGAACCAAGGTTACATCTGATTGTTGATGTAGGTTGGGTTCTAGAGTTGCATTTGCCTTCTCCTCCAGTGCATTCAACGGATCGCCTTCTTACACCTTCTCCACAAGACACAGAACACTGCGAAATAATAAAGGACGAAAATGTTATCGAAAAGTGTTATTTGCTTATCCACGGTACCCTTTAGAGTTCTTAAAGCTCTTGCTTTATGTCCTTCGTGTCTCTATAAGTAACTGTTTAAGTGAAGAAACTATAGTTCTTCCTTCCCCGTCACAACAATGCCGAAACTCCAATTTGGGCCACATTGGTGATACCGTACGTTGCGGGCTCTCGAATGGGAAGGGGAAGAGCAGGCTAAAGTGGTGACAGGCAACTGCTCTCACCCCTGCGGCATTCCTCCTCTGCCGCGTTTTGCTTATAAATGAAAGAGATTGTAAGAAATTAATAGGCCCCAGAAGATCAGGGGCTATTCTCACTCACCTCACCCAACCGCCCAGCTTTCCACACAGGACACTTTCCCATGTCACACATGTCGTACACGTCAGGTTTAGTTCTGTAATCGCATCTTAATCTTCTTGTAGTACATTCCACAGTGCGGCGTCTCCATCCTCTGCCACATGTAACCGTACACTAAAAAGTACATCGCATCAAATTTTACTATTTCTGGCGACACTAAATTGTAAATTAAATGACAACAAAAGCAAAAAAAAAAAAGGACTCTGGCACTCTGCAAACAACAATACCTGTTGCCAGTCCCCCACTTTCCATTCTGCACACGGCCCAAGATTACAGTGGGTCCTCGAAACTGGTTTAGTTTTAACGTCGCACTGAGCGTTAAGGCCATGACAATTCACAGGACGAGTTTTTATTCCATTTCCACAGGTTTTTGAACACTGAAAGGAGGTTAAATAGAACAAGAAACATCACTTGCACATTTTGGGAAGGAAGTAGAGATGATTGGGCCTCAAATTCTCAAAAACAAGGTTTTGATGATGACTTTGACCTATCACAGAGACTTAGGCCTTCAAGCAAATATATATAGACAGCTCAACAGGCGGGTTAGACTGTACGGAAGACATTAATTATAGATTTTTAAAAGTATATATGAGAACGTAAACAAAATATGGTGAGTTTTAAAATTAGAGTTGGCTTCGAACTGGCTCAAAAAACAACAATGACACAACTACAACACAAACACAATTAAGTCGGTCACTTTGATTTAGAACTTTTCAGAAAGGCAGGATTGGGGGCATTATTATTTTCTCTAAATTCCTTTACATTATTGTAGAAAGCTTAAAACCAAACGGCTGCCGTACAGTCTGGGATGCCTTTGTCGGCACCAAATACTTAAACTACCAGCTACCAAGTCACTATTGGCTTTATTTTACTCTAGACTTGCGAAAAAACTGCCGAGCAAATTATTAGGAAAAAAAGGGGGGTGGTATTATGGCGAAATTTCTTTCAATACCACTCTATGATTTATTTTAAAGAATAGCTTCAGCATCTCGCTATTTACCCTGCTCCACGTCCCTGTTTTCCAAGTTGGGCATGTTCCAAAATTGCATCTTTCCACACTCTTTGGTCTGCTTCTATAGTCACATCTGCTACTTTCTCCATGGCAACGCACTAAACGTCTTCTGAGGCCGCTACCACATGACACGGAGCACTAAAGAAAATAACAAAGCTGTAAAGTAAATGTGGGTGAATGAGATACTGCTTTCGTTTTCTAAACGTTGAGGAAATGAAACAGGGGAGGTAACTCAGGGTCTGCAAAGAGGTGGGTACGTGTCCTCAGCCCACATTCCAGCTCCTTTTCACGACAAACCCGTATCCCGAACTTCTGTCATCTTTTTCCTGAAAACCGTTTTCTTTCCTAATCAGTGGCGGATCCAGGGGAGGGGCCCCCCTTATATTTAGTCCAAAGTGAGGCCCAAAGCGCAGCAAAAAATGTCATTTGAGACCCCGCCCCCTTATCTGAAAGTCTAGATCCGCCACTGGGCGGCAATACCCCTGCGGAGATTTTGGCGAATCCCACTTCCCGAGTGGCGTTCTAATCCGGGATCCCGAGAATATCCTTTCAGACCCTGGTAATAGCATTTCGTAGATAAGTAGATAAGTTCAATCAAAAGGTTTTTTTGCATAAAGTGAACATACAGAGTGATCCTTACCCGGCCCCAGTTTCCAACTTTCCACACAGGGCAGGAACCAAGGTTACAGGTGTCCGTGGACGTGGGTTTGGTTTGTACATCACATTTGCCCCTATTTCCACTGCAATCCACGCTGCGTGATTTTACGCCGTTCCCACAAGACACTGAACACTGATTGAGAAGTAAAAAAAAAAAGAGAGAGAGAGAAAAAAGAGATGTCATGTTATGTCATATCTCCCAGCTTAATTTCACCAACCCGTGATAAAAGACATTTTCCTGCGGTAGAAAACAAGGACTCCTCCTGAATTTTGTTTAAGTACTCCAGACTGCATGGTTTTCTTTTAGATTTTGCCAGAAATATCCGGCGAAAAAAGATAATTCCATGTTAAACGAGGACTAGCCCGAGTGCAAGCTCTCCAGTTATGGCGAGCAGCGACAAAACGCACGAACGAGCGGCGAAGCGGCGAGGGGCGGAGCTGCCTTTCGCAAGCGGCTCTCGCGTGGCTTCTTCCGCCTCCCCCAAATGGTGAGCTTGCTCGCAGGCTAAACGAGGATGTGATGGGCCTGCTGACGTCACGAAATGGCCAAATCGTGACGTCATTCCGCTCATAACACGAAAAGACTGTCACACTAGTTGTTAAAAGCGTCGCTTCGTCATTGCTACTTGACGATTATATCAACTTTCGGTTTGTACCTGACTCCATTGTCCAACTTTCCACTGTGGACAGGAACCAAGGTTACATCTGATTGTTGATGTAGGTTGGGTTCTAGAGTTGCATTTGCCTTCTCCTCCAGTGCATTCAACGGATCGCCTTCTTACACCTTCTCCACAAGACACAGAACACTGCGAAATAATAAAGGACGAAAATGTTATCGAAAAGTGTTATTTGCTTATCCACGGTACCCTTTAGAGTTCTTAAAGCTCTTGCTTTATGTCCTTCGTGTCTCTATAAGTAACTGTTTAAGTGAAGAAACTATAGTTCTTCCTTCCCCGTCACAACAATGCCGAAACTCCAATTTGGGCCACATTGGTGATACCGTACGTTGCGGGCTCTCGAATGGGAAGGGGAAGAGCAGGCTAAAGTGGTGACAGGCAACTGCTCTCACCCCTGCGGCATTCCTCCTCTGCCGCGTTTTGCTTATAAATGAAAGAGATTGTAAGAAATTAATAGGCCCCAGAAGATCAGGGGCTATTCTCACTCACCTCACCCAACCGCCCAGCTTTCCACACAGGACACTTTCCCATGTCACACATGTCGTACACGTCAGGTTTAGTTCTGTAATCGCATCTTAATCTTCTTGTAGTACATTCCACAGTGCGGCGTCTCCATCCTCTGCCACATGTAACCGTACACTAAAAAGTACATCGCATCAAATTTTACTATTTCTGGCGACACTAAATTGTAAATTAAATGACAACAAAAGCAAAAAAAAAAAAGGACTCTGGCACTCTGCAAACAACAATACCTGTTGCCAGTCCCCCACTTTCCATTCTGCACACGGCCCAAGATTACAGTGGGTCCTCGAAACTGGTTTAGTTTTAACGTCGCACTGAGCGTTAAGGCCATGACAATACACAGGACGAGTTTTTATTCCATTTCCACAGGTTTTTGAACACTGAAAGGAGGTTAAATAGAACAAGAAACATCACTTGCACATTTTGGGAAGGAAGTAGAGATGATTGGGCCTCAAATTCTCAAAAACAAGGTTTTGATGATGACTTTGACCTATCACAGAGACTTAGGCCTTCAAGCAAATATATATAGACAGCTCAACAGGCGGGTTAGACTGTACGGAAGACATTAATTATAGATTTTTAAAAGTATATATGAGAACGTAAACAAAATATGGTGAGTTTTAAAATTAGAGTTGGCTTCGAACTGGCTCAAAAAACAACAATGACACAACTACAACACAAACACAATTAAGTCGGTCACTTTGATTTAGAACTTTTCAGAAAGGCAGGATTGGGGGCATTATTATTTTCTCTAAATTCCTTTACATTATTGTAGAAAGCTTAAAACCAAACGGCTGCCGTACAGTCTGGGATGCCTTTGTCGGCACCAAATACTTAAACTACCAGCTACCAAGTCACTATTGGCTTTATTTTACTCTAGACTTGCGAAAAAACTGCCGAGCAAATTATTAGGAAAAAAAGGGGGGTGGTATTATGGCGAAATTTCTTTCAATACCACTCTATGATTTATTTTAAAGAATAGCTTCAGCATCTCGCTATTTACCCTGCTCCACGTCCCTGTTTTCCAAGTTGGGCATGTTCCAAAATTGCATCTTTCCACACTCTTTGGTCTGCTTCTATAGTCACATCTGCTACTTTCTCCATGGCAACGCACTAAACGTCTTCTGAGGCCGCTACCACATGACACGGAGCACTAAAGAAAATAACAAAGCTGTAAAGTATAATCATGTGTTCAAGCAGAACGCAAGCGACGATTACACAGTTAGCAATTTAAACCTCAGCACAGAAATTACGATGAATTGGACAAATCACAACTTCGGCAAAATAACACTTAACAAATGCATTTTCCTATGGCGAGGCCATATTGCGTATCCCACATCCAATAAATTCTTGGGTCTAAATATCCAGTATCCCGTTAATTTCAATGCTTTGTATTCTTGCAATTATGCCAAAACTTATGGTGACAACATTTCGAGGAGAGGATAGCCATTTCCTAGCCTGAGAAAATAGCCAACATTTGGCGACGCTACGACTGGTTTCCCCTGGGTAGTGCTTCTGATTGGTTGAATAAATTTCTCACGCGGCACGTCCAGTCAGAAGCACTTCCCAGATCTGGGTAGTGACGCGTCATCAGTATGGAATTTCTGCGCTCGTTTCTCAGACGTCATTTGGCGGGGAAAGCAGCGGTAGTGTCGCCAAATGTTGGCTGTTTTTTTAGGCTAGCAACAATCAACACAAAAACGATAACAATCTCATTAATGAGTCTTTTTCTCAAGTTTCGTTAAGCTTCTTATTCTATCAGAAACGATTGCTTTGACGCTCGCGCTCCCAGAATTTTTTCTCCCTACTTCTCTCTCTATGTTATGCTCGAATTTCCCGTATCCCTATAATTTTCCATTCGCATGTCCAGCTAGCCTGTGTACAGACCCCCCTCCCCTCAGGAAAAAGGGGAGGGGAGGGGGGAAAGGGTATTTATACAGGCTATGTCCAGTATGCCATCTTTCCTAAGAGGGCCCACAAAATCTTTGTAAGACTGTTTCGTCAAAAAGCCCTTGAAGAAATTGTAACTGTAACACATCAAAAGGTGAAGATTTTCTGTCTAATTATTAATATTTACCTCTCCCCATGGACTTGTCTTCCACTGAGGGCATGTTTTCAAGTTACATTGCGCCGTTGTTTGTGGTTTTGTTCTCGCATCGCAACTAACGTCTTTATCGCTGCATTCAACAGAACGCTTCTTTACCCCCAAACCACAGGTTACTGAGCACTGCAAATAGATCATCCGAGGACTTTGTTGTAAGTAGGTGGTTGGATTAATCAGTAAACAATACAAGAGACTAATAGGCCATTTGCACGATGGCGTCATTTTACTACATGTACTACGACCAGGATCCTTTTCGCTTTTCCTTTCATATTTAAATTGGAAATCCCATTGAGGTTTAGATTTAAAAAATCCCTAATGTGCACAAGGAAGCAAAACCTTAAAAGATTCTGGTCGTAGTCGGTAAAATGACTTCATCGTGGAAGTGGCCTACTGATCGCTTATTCGCCGTCCCATAATACAGTAAAAAAAAAAAAAAAAAGAAAAAGGAAAACGACCGGCACTAAGGTGACGAAACGTTGCGATCTACTTTTCAAGTGACTACATCGTGAGACAGACAAATGATAAGTCGTTTACCAATGCACTTACGACGGTGGTAAACCAAGGGTTTTTTCACCTTTTTTCTAGACATAAACAACAACAACAACAACAACAACACCAAAGACGACAACAAAAAGAAAAGACAAACAAAAAACTTGAAACAATCAAGACAGCCTCTTACTTTGCCCCATTCTCCTGTAAGCCAAGTAGGACACGGTCGTTTGTTACAAGCTTCATTTGTGAAGGGCTTGGTCTTCTGGGCACATCCGGAGCTAAGTCGGCCATTTCGTGATATACAATAAACACCTCGCTGCCGGACACCCACTCCACAGGACACTGAGCACTAGAGAGGAACAAATGCAATGAGCACTATTCAAAAACAGGCAAAGGTACTACTCAGAGTTTCATTTGACTTCTAAAATGGAGGTGTGGGGTATCCCTCGCGAGTACGAAGCAAAACAGCTCTCTAATCCCATGATAAACGATCTCATACCAGGTGCCCCACGGTTTGGCCAGGCAATAACCAAATCTTTTTAGCTCCACAGCACAACAATAATTTCTCCGGTTTCTGGCTGCGCATTTTGAAGATTATTTTTGTGTACGCAATGTAAAAAATGCGACGCAGAGTGAGTCACGTTTACCAGAAACGACGAACCTTAATTTGTACCACGTGACCAGGTCTTCGCTTTACTTGTCTATTACTGTTCATTTCTTTCTCCAAAAAAGTATTTTCACGTTAGTTTTGTGCATAAGAATTGTCCTGGACTTTTCAGTTTTATCAGCTTATTTTCTATTTTAAGAAATTCTCAACTTGAACCTGACGATAGACGTTTGCCAACTAAAAGTAGCCACTTATTGCTCTGCGTGGTAGCAATTCCCTCCGGCAAGTTACTGTTCACTACTGCACATAGAAAAAGAAAGGTAGTTGATTCCTTACCTGTCCCCAGGCGCTCGCTTTCCACTCTGGACAGGGTTCCGGGTTACATTGGGCTGTTGTTTGCGGCTTCGTTCTCGCGTCACAAGGAAAGTCTTTGTCACTACATTCTACTACGCGAAGTTTTATTCCTGAACCACAAGTCAAAGAACACTGGAATAAATTGAGAGACCCAAAAGTTAAATCTAAGTTGTCGGCAGACTGTGCGGGAATAGTAATTCGGCCAGTTCAATTTCCCGCCAATAAGAAAAAAAAAAAAAAAAAAAAAAAAAAAGGACCAGCAGTAAGGTGAAGAAACGTTGCGATCTACTTTTCAAGTGACTACATCGTGAGACAGACAAACCATAAGTCGTTTACCAATGCACTTACTACGGTGGTAAACCAAGGACTTTTTCAGCTTTTTTCTACACATAAACAACAACAACCAAAAAAGACAAACAAAAAAAACTTGAAACAATCAAGACAGCCTCTTACTTTGCCCCAGTCTCCTGTAAGCCAAGTAGGGCACGGTCGTTTGTTACAAGCTTCATTTGTGAAGGGTTTGGTTCTCTGGGCACATCCCGAACTAAGCCGGCCATTTTGTGATATACAATAAACACCTCGCTGTCGGACACCCACTCCACAGGACACTGAGCACTAGAGAGAAACAAATGCAATGAGCACTATTCAAAAACAGGCAAAGGTACTACTCAGAGTTTCATTTGACTTCTAAAGCGGAGGTGGGGGGTATCCCTCGCGAGTACGAAGCAAAACAGCTCTCTAATCCCATGATAAACGATCTCATACCAGGTGCCCCACGGTTTGAAACCAGGTAATAACCAAATCTTTTTAGCTCCACAGCACAACAATAATTTCTCCGGTTTCTGGCTGCGCATTTTGAAGATTATTTTTGGGTACGCAATGTAAAAAATGCGACGCAGAGTGAGTCACGTTTACCAGAAACGACGAACCTTAATTTGTACCACGTGACCAAGTCTTCGCTTTACTTGTCTATTACTGTTCATTTCTTTCTCCAAAAAAGTATTTTCACGTTAGTTTTGTGTATAAGAATTGTCCTGGACTTTTCAGTTTTATCAGCTTATTTTCTATTTTGAGAAATTCTCAACTTGAATCTGACGATAGACGTTTGCCATAACCGTGACAACTAAAACTAGCCACTTATTGCTCTGCGTGGTAGCAATTCCCTCAGGCAAGTTACTGTTCACTACTGCACATAGAAAAAGAAAAGTAGTTGATTCCTTACCTGTCCCCAGGCGCTCGCTTTCCACTCTGGACAGGGTTCCGGGTTACATTGGGCTGTTGTTTGTGGCTTCGTTCTCGCGTCACAAGGAAAGTCTTTGTCACTACATTCTACTACGCGAAGCTTTATTCCTGAACCACAAGTCAAAGAACACTGGAATAAATTGAGAGACCCAAAAGTTAAATCTAAGTTGTCGGCAGACTGTGCGGGAATAGTAATTCGGCCAGTTCAATTTCCCGCCAATAAGTCAACAAGTCGTGGTTGTCCTGATGGTGGTAAATTCCATTCGATGCCTAAGTGATGCGAACAGTAGTATTCTTATAAACTTCACAACCTGCATGACTCTGGTTTTTCGTAATAAAATTGACTCCACAAGGTTACATTAGAAAGCAAGTCGAGAATTAAGAAAAAAATGTTCAAGTTCCGATCCAGCCAAGCTTTCATATATTTCCTCATTGTGACACAGGTTCTTATGAAACTCCACAGTGTCACTTCATTTTATCATGCTGATTTGTCCTTTCATTGGCAAATAAGAACAGAAATCAGTGGGGTCCAATTTTTACCTCTCCCCAGTCCCTGGTAATCCATGTTGGGCACTGTCTAATGTTGCAAGCTTCTATCGTTACAGGTCTGTTTTCCTCGTCACATCCGGGAGTCAACTGGCCATTTTGTAGTCTGCAATTGACGCTTCGCCGCCTGGTACCGTTTCCACAGGAGACAGAGCACTAGAAAGTAAACAGAAAGTCATTTGCGCCTCTTAAATGAGTATAGACCATTTTGAGATTTCCGCGTAAGCCTGGGTTGATGTTGTGTCGACTTGTACCATAGGACAGCTATGCGACGCTATCGCTCCTTTCAATGCGTAATTTCAAACCGAGTGCTTAATTGTTTAATGGAATAAACAACACGAGATGCACGTAGAAGACACCGAGCAGTACAAAATTCACATATTTAGTGTTATTCGCGACAATATTTAAAAAAGATACAGCTGTTTAAAAAGTTGAAAGTTTACTAAGAGATGTAGCATTGCCGGATACACTGTCCGAACGTCTATAGATATTTCTTAGTAAATTTTGCAGTTATGATTCGCTGCATCTCGTTCAATATTGGCCCAATAAACACAAACCTTGTGGACCAACTCGTACCCAGCTCCCTCGGTTTGACATTAGGCAATTGGCTATTACAAAGCTGCGCGGGTAGCTGGAACAAACTCCACCTCCAAAACAGTCCCATAATGCTTTTCGACACAGCACCGTTGCAGTCTCATGAGTAACTTCAAGGTGACCAATAGGCTACTTCCGAGTTGCCTCAAGCCTCTGTTTCAAAGCGAGGCTAAGAGCAAAGACATTGACATTAAAATGATTTTTTTTATTCTCATGCAAATAGGGCTCGTTTTCACACTTAGCCTTGTTTGGAAACAGATGGTTTTGGGAACTCAGAAGTAGCTTATCTAACAACTGTCTTGTTAATCTAAAAAGAGATGTAGCATTGCCGGATACACTGTCCGAACGTCTATAGATATTTCTTAGTAAATTTTGCAGTTATGATTCGCTGCATCTCGTTCAATATTGGCCTAATAAACACAAACCTTGTGGACCAACTCGTACCCAGCTCCCTCGGTTTGACATTAGGCAATTGGCTATTACAAAGCTGCGCGGGCAGCTGGAACAAACTCCACCTCCAAAACAGTCCCATAATGCTTTTCGACACAGCACCGGTGCAGTCTCACGAGTAACTTCAAGGTGACCAATAGGCTACTTCCGAGTTGCCTCAAGCCTCTGTTTCAAAGCGAGACTAAGAGCAAAGTCATTGACATTAAAATGATTTTTTTTATTCTCATGTAAATAGGGCTCGTTTTCACACTTAGCCTTGTTTGGAAACAGATGGTTTTGGGAACTCAGAAGTAGCTTATCTAACAACTGTCTTGTTAATCTAAGGGTGTGTTCGATTGATCATATTCCGGAATAAGAGTACGCAAAAATTTGTCACAAATCGTTCCTCCGCGATTTTTTGGACCACTGGAATGCTAGATTCACCTTAAAAATTAATTCCCACCAGATTTCTAGATTTTACCATGCAATGAATGCCAAAGCTAAGTGATTTCTTAAGTTCATTCCATACATTCTTCTTCCAAAATACGGTCAATTAAACACGCCCTTTATATCGTTTATTCACTAGTTTGAAAAACAAACAAACAAAAAAGCGGCTATCCTACGGAACTCAGTCAGTCAAGACACGCGTCCTGTATACTTCAAGGATCAGCCATGTCGAATGCGTCCAGTTTTGTGAAAGAAAAAGAAAGATCTAATGGATTTTATTCAAGCAAAATGTTCTTCGGTAAATCTATGTAAATGGTCGCTCACCTCCTCCCATGGACTTGTTTTCCACTCGGGACACTCTTTTAGGTTGCATCGCGTCTTAGCTTTCGGTTTTGTTATTTCATTACAACTGAAGTCCTTATCGCTGCATTCAACTGATCGAACCTTAATTCCTGCGCCACAAGTCACTGAACACTGCAAACGAGAACAACCAACAATAATGAAAACAAAAACACTTCACAAAAAAGAAAGACAGAAACTAAGAAAAACTGCGCTTCCAATAAGGAATTATTAGTGCAGTAAAAATGACGTCTTACTTTGCCCCAGTCTCCTGTTATCCATGTTGGACAGGGTCTGATGTTGCAATCTTCTCTCGCCGCAGGTTTGTTTTCCTTGTTACATCCGGGACTTAACTGGCCACTCGGTAGTCTGCAGCTGACACTTCGCCGTTTGATACCTTCGCCGCAGGAAACGGAGCACTAAAACGGAACAAAGACTACGTTTAATAATTTGTTTCCCCCCACGGTAGCTTATTGTGAACGTGGTTCATGAGAACTTATCTGGCTTCGTCGACAAGAGATCTGGGTACGAGATTACGTGACAACATGAAGACACAGCTCAAATGACGTCATCGTAATATCCCGTATGTTTGTACTTACTTCACCCCAGGGTTCCTCGCGCCAAGTGGGACAATCTCCCAGCACACAGTCCATGATGCTCTCCGGTTTTTTACCTCGATTGCATTGATTACTTGTTGTGCCATCCTCATATCTGCATTGTACTTCACGTTGCCTTTGTCCTTGGCCGCAAGTCACAGAACACTAAACGAAAGCAGCAGAACAAGGATTAAACTGGAGATCCTCTACCTCGTTTTTAGTTCCCTCTCTTTGCTCCTACATAGCGTGTATGATTACGCACTGCGCTCTGTTTTTTTTGTACTCTATAGAGCGTTTTCACTCACGTAGAGTGCAGGTATGCAATATTATTGCGACAAAAGAAAGGGTTTACATATGAAAAGAGTGCCACTCCCACAGGACTGGTTTGAGACACCAACATGGTCGCCAACATGGCGGACGTGAGGTCCTATGGAAAGGCTTTATTCCTCAAAAATTGCTATAAAAAGAAACCTTGTGTGCTGTCTTGTGCAATTGGTAAAAAGTGAAGAACGTTTTACCTACTTTTGGCGTTTGTATGCAAGTAACAGTTTACCTCTCCCCAGGGACTTGTCTTCCATCTTGGACAAGGTTTAAGGTTACATTGAGTCGTGGTTTGTGGTTTAGTTCTCGCATCACAACTGAAGTCCTTATCACTGCATTCCACAGAACGAACTTTGATTCCAGAGTCACAAGTTACTGAGCACTGTAAACAAAATAAATAGAAGTGAAATGAACGTCCAATTCCCCACAACAAAAGAGGGACTGGTTTTTAAAAGATACCAACATGGCCGCAAACATGGCGGACGGGAGGTCATGTGGAAAGGCTTTATTACTTTTCCGCAGAGCACAAAATTGCCATAAACATAACATGTGGTACAGGGCAAAAAGTTTGCCAAATTGTCCAATAAATGTCAAGTGTTAAAAAAAACAAACAAAGAAACAAACAAAACAAACTTTAAAAAAACATTAATAATAACTACTCTTAAGCAATCAGGTGACACATTACCTTGCCCCAGTCTCCTGTTATCCATGTTGGACACGGTCTAATGTTGCAAGCTTCTCTGAAAGCAGGTTTGTTTTCTCCGCTACACCCGGGACTTAACTGGCCACTCGCTAGTCTGCAGCTGACACTTCGCTGTCTGATACCTTCACCGCAAGAAACTGAGCACTGGAACATAAAAAAATCGCCGTCAGAATTTAGGTTAGAAAAGCAAGAGACAGAACCTTGATGCAGAAAATGCTGACAAGATGACACGATTCGTGCAGTACGCTTATCATAAGTCAACATTACCTAAGGACAGGCTCTATTTTGGTTCCGCTTGATAAATAAAATTTCAACGAGCGAGGCGAAACGACCATATAAGCAAGGATGTAAGAGAGCTGCTAAAATTCTTCCTAATAAGTTAAAGAAGCCTGTCCACGGTCCTCTTTCCTTTATTTTCTCCCACGAATTTTGCACCGCGGTTTTTATATTCATACGTGCGCTCGACAATCTCTAACGTTAAGAAGAAAATAGAGGGTCAGTGAAGAGACAAAGGTTTAAGTCAATATCAAATGACAAAAATTATGGCTCGGAGCCTGCCTAAAGCAATAAACCATTAATTTATCCAAGATTGCCTCAATTTACAAAATCCTTTAGAGATAGTAAGCTCATTTTGTTTAACCTCTCTTGCTCAAGTTTTGAACCAATCACTATGACTTGAAGTGACCAATTGTAATTGAGTGTGTAAGTGAGGAACTGTAAGTAAGTGTTTGCACTGACCTCTCCCCAGGGCTCTTCGCGCCAAACTGGACACTCTCCCAACACACAGTCCAAGACGCTCTTTGGCTTATTGCTTTCATCACATTCATTACTTGCTTTACCATCCTCATATCTGCATTGTACTTCACGTTGCCTTTGTCCTTGGCCGCAGGTCACTGAACACTAAACATAAGTCACAGAATAACAATTAAACTGCAAATCGTGTGGCTTCCTGTCGCATCCTTTCCCACGAGGCACCCGCGCGCTCTTTGTTTTCGGTGCAAAATATAAGAGGCCGTTTAAAGGTTCTGGTACATAACCCTTTGTTTTGGAAAGAAGCAAGGTTTTTACAATACAAGTAAACATTCTCATATGTGTTAATTTGTAAGTTTTTTCCCGTCCAACGGGTGTGATTTTCCAACAAACTTCACCGAAATGAGACGACCACAATGTACTATCTGTCTATCAAAAAGGTTACGCCATAACACCACTAGCACGCGGTTCCTGGTCTAGATCAAGTTCTTTACTTTAAATGCAATTGTTTCCATGTTCGTTTAAAGTGTAGAAAGTGGAAAATCATAAATAGCTTACCTCTCCCCAATGACTTGTTTTCCACTGTGGGCAGGCTTTGAGATTACATGATGCAGTCGTTTCTGGTTTGGTTCTAGCTTCACAACTGCTGCTTTTATCGCTGCATTCAACCGTTCGCTTTCTTACTCCTAAGCCACAGGTCACTGAGCACTGCAAATACAGCAGATAAAAGATAAACAAACAAAGAAAAAAACGGTTCCGTTAGCCCTATAGTTTCAATTTTAAAAGAAGGACTGTATTGTTGTTTTAGAGCCATAATATCATGGGTGACGAGTTACTCCTTAATTTTGGCGCGAAATTTCAGCGTTCATTTATGTTTCATATGGGCAATTACAAAATTACCATGGCAACCTTCCATACATCTCAGTGCCAGATGGCGACGAAGTTTTAAAATTTTATGAATGAAGATGTCAGGGCATTAAAACTGAGACGCTTTAGAAAACTTAAACACATGAAAAAGCACATCAAGAAGGATTCTAACATTTTGTTGAAAAATTCTGTAAATTCTGGACTTCTCGATCGACGCGATAAAACCGGGATAAACATCTCAAAAATCCACGATTGCGAACGTAATTCGTCACCCATGATGTTAATAGGTAATCAAATATACTCGTGAAATTAGGGAATAATTTCACTTGCTTTTCGTCTAGATCCTAATAATTTAATAAATTAATAACAAATCATAAGAAATATTGACAAAACGCGTCTGAAATTATTCCCTAATTTCACTCGCCACTATTTGATTACACATACTAATTCCCATCCTCGGAGACTAAGGGGCAGATAGTGGGGGCGAGGGAAAGTCTAAACGGGCGGAAAAATATGGCACGAAGAAAAGTAAAGAACGGTGAGAAGAGCCCCTGGGGACAATGTCTTACCAGACCAGTTCCAAACGGTCGCCGCCGTTATAACTTGTGATTGGTGCCAGAAAACTTTTGTGTTTTTCTGCCCAAACAGAAGCCAGAACGGCGACGACCGTTTGGAACTGGTCTGGTAAGACATTGTCCCCAGGGGCTCTTCTCACCGTTCTTTACTTTTCCTCGTGCCATATTTTTCCGCCCGTTTAGACTTTCCCTCGCCCCCACTATCTGCCCCTGGGTCTCTGAGGATGACTAATTCCCTTCATATAACTACGAATCTCATTGGCTAATTAGTGGTTAGGACTCTTTCAAACCGCATATAGTCAACAATTGTTATCTTGGCTCTTAGTTATCTGATCCGCATTGTGCCTTTGGAAGATTTTCATGCTGTATCCTTCAAATGAATGTATCCTTTTTTGAAAATTACTTGTGCTTGCGCTTGAATCGCTAGCCAATTGTCAGTAATCACACACATGGTTAATTAAATCCTTACTTGACCCCAGGTCCCCGCCTTCCAGCTCGGCACCGCTTGTGGAGTTGTGGGGACGGGTGTCGTGGTCGGTACTGCAGACGTTGAGATACATTCTCTGATTTCACATGGGCGTTCGCTTCGCGGCTTACTTTTCAAATCGCAGTTTTTATCCACTGTTATTTTAAAATTATCATAGGTACACTTGACCACACGAAGCTGCACACCCTTACCGCAAAGCCGTGAACACTGAAATAAAAGCACAAGCAAATAAATTTACATTGACCTTTATTGGCGATTGAGGACCCCTCCTTCTATTGGGTATTCTGTGGCATTTATTAGGCATACTAAGCGTTTAAATCCCCAAGGCCCGATTAACAAAATGAAGCCAACATTATCTGCTTTTCCAGCTCTATTGAAAGAAGTTCTCGTTAACACCCTTCCGATTTACTAACCGTGTTGCTCTTTTAAATATAATAAAAGTTTATTCCGTTTTGAAGTGTCGAAACACATAGTTCCATAAGTTCTGCACAGATCAAAATTAGGAAATATTTTACATGTTTCGATTCTGGAATGATCGATTCCGGAATGAGAGTTAATTTGTATGTTACTTCTTCTTCCTCTTATTATATTATTATTATTGATATTATTATCATTATCATTATCATTATTATTATACATTGTTCTCACAATCTTTCTTCGCATTGGCTAAGAGCCCACAGTTAATTTTGGAAATCAGCGCAACCTGACTTTGCTAGCAAAAAACTGACTCATCTATAGGTTGGGTGCGCAATAGGTGATTTACAAGAACAATGTCAAATTATTCTCCGTGCGACTACTTGTTTGTCGTTTTTTTCTTCAAAACAATGAATAATAATAATAATAAAACAGTATAATAAAACAATTATAAAATTCGGTTTCTTTTATATCTCGAATAATCAAAATTGAGACAAGTGTTATCAGCAAAAACTGGCCGTTTCCGAGTTCCCCAGGCCTCTGTATCATAACGTGGTTGAGTGCTCAGCCTTTGATGTGGAAATGATTTTTCATTCGCATGAAAAAAAAACCATTTTCACAAGAAAGGTTGTACACTTGGCCTCATTTTGAAAGTGAGGGTTTTTGGGACTCGCAAGTCGCCTATTGTTTACAATCTAACAACTACTTCAAACTTACTCCACCCCAAGATCCGTGTCTCCAGGTTGTGCACGGTAGAACTTGGCATTCCTTCAGGTCAGCGGGTTTTGGGGTATGCGCACAGTGATTTTCATCAACCACATTCTGTTGCCTACCTCTCACAAGTACGCACTCGACGTCACGATACTGTGTCCCGGGCTTTTCTCCACATGACACAGAACACTAAAAGTTCATTAAAAAAAAAAAATCTCTGTCATTAGTTTTAATGAGCGTTCATGGGATTTTTCCAGCCCGAGCATGACAATCGCCAAAACGTAACACCAGCCGAACAACTAAAACAACAACAACAACTAACATTCAGTTAGCATTCACATCGCCACTACTACAATGTTAACAACAAACATCAGGGCCCAAAATAACGGCTGGTTAACGGACAATGTCCGGCCAAGATGGCCACGTGTCGGGACCAGAATAAAAATACATTTCTACACCGTTTCGTTTCAAGAAGACAAGCTTCTTTTCTTGTTGACGTTATCATCGTGTTACGGGGGTTTAACACTTTGACCGGCCAAAAGAGAGTCGTGATCGAGCTAAAATTTCTTTGGCCGGTCAACACCACCGGCGACAGTCCCAAATTTATTTTGAGTCCTGAACAAAGACACCAACAAACAAACAAACAAACGAAAAAACGACAACAACACAAGCAGTTATGATAACAATGTTAACATAACACAAAAAACAAAAAATAATACGTCTAACGATAATAACAACAACAAAAGCAATAACGAAAAACAACAATAACTATAAGATAGGGGCAGCTTGCACGAATGGTCATGGCGCAGGATTCACGATTCGGAGGTCCCGAGTTTGACTGGTCCAACCACTAGATGATTTCATTTGTCGGTAGTACTGAATTCAACTTCAAGAACACTTTGTGTAGCCTGGGATCAGGCTCTGCGGTTGAGGAAAAAAGATAAAGAGAATCGCCGAGCTAAGCGAGCCGAGCGGCCCAGTCCACCGTTCGGCTCGCTTCGTTTCACTTTGTTTTTTGCCACTTATTCCAGACAGCGTAGCCTAGTCCAATTTGTTAACTTCTTATGTTTTTCATTGTTAAAAATTTTCTTTGTCATTGCTTTTTTAACTTTAGAGAGAAACACTGCATTGTATTGCTTCTCATTCTACAACAACAGCAAGTAGTAGCAAGAAACATTACCGGAGTCCACATACTGAGCCGCCAGTAATGATCATCAAGATCTCCTTCGTGATCAATCTTATACAGCGTCGAACACTCTTGTGTTTTGCAAACTTTGTGCGACTGAGGTCTTGTTGCAGCTGAACATTTTTCTTCAGTCAGGGGTCTAGCGACCTTGCCTGGAGACAAGCACATTATCTGTCGAGTCATCATTCCGCTACCACAAGTCGCGGAGCACTGATGAAGAAAGAAGAAGAAAATCTATAAAATCTTTCGCAATTCTAGAGCTTCCTCTCGAGCGGCATGCATACTGAGTACAAGCACTCAAACGAGGCAAACGGGGGAGGACTAAGGCGAGATGGGAGGGGAGGAGAAACCTTTGCCTTTCCCCTTGTCCCTAGTGTCCTCTCCGCTCATTCGCTTTCTTCATTTTTGTCATGGCAGATTGCTCTCGCGACAAACTGAGAGTTGTTTAAATCAGCTCACTTCGGAAGGCTTATTCTACAAGGTCTTAGCATCTACAAAGGGTACCCAGAGTCTTCTTGTGTTACTTTTCAACTTAATGCAAGTAGCACTTTCCCTTGGTAATATTTATTACGCCTAAAAAGGCGGTTATGTTCGTGCGCGCGAACGAAAAATAGAACCGCGGACCGGGGGATATATCGACCGCCAGTCCCAGCGGGTGGGGGTGGATGTGTAACTGAGATAATAAATAAATAATTAACAGAGAAAAAAAGGGAAAACGACAGACTACGCTGGTACTGACTTTTGCAGTTCAACGTTCAAATCAAAGCTACTGAGCAGCGCTTTTCCGTGAAGCTGTTTATAACGTTTAGGCGATGCTATGTTTAAAGTCTGTAAATATAATCGTATGCTACGACCGCTAAAACCAATGCTCCTTGAGCAAGGCACAGCAACAGGACTCAAATCTTAACTTACATCACTCCAATCACCAGCGAACCAATAGGGACAAGCTTGAAGCTCACAAGGTTGTGTCGTGGCAGGTCTCCTCTGTTTACACAGTCCTTCGTCAACTATTCCCTGATGTCCTTTGCATTTAACCAGTCGAGTCTGCTGTCCAGACCCACAAGTCACGCTGCACTGAGAGATAAAAATGTTAAGGTCAGTGCATGAGCCTTCTTGGAAGGACCATAGTAGGTTGCTAAGAAGCCAAAATATGATCCATTTGTTATGTGAGCTCACAATGTTAACTTAGTGAAGAAGCACACGTCAGAAACCACTCCTTTCGTAGACTAGAAAAACTAATGCCTAACTAAATTTTTTTGGAGACCGCCCTCCCTCCCCTTCTCTCAGGGTCCGTATGACCGTCCCCCCCTTATCTGAAGGTCTGGATCTGCCACTGAATCGTCACTAGTAGCCAATAGTCTCGCCCAAAACCAAATGAAGCAAAACTGGTACCGACTTACCGAGCTCCAGTTTTCAGTGGTCCACCAAGGACACGTAAATGCGTTACACTGTCGTCTCAGCCTTTGCTTATCAGAAGGACGACAGTCACGCTCCTTGAGAATTTCTCCAAAGTTGTCCACGCAGTCTGCTGAACGAGTTTGCTTGCCACCATTGCAACTTTTTGAACACTGTAAATTAAAAAGTTATAGTCACAGAACGCCAAACATAACTTACGTTTCATGAAATGACCTTTTCCTGTCAGATAATTAAAAAAATATAGGATAAGACATCATTGTAATTAAACGCTATGTCTTGCATGATGTAAAAACCAACCTTTACAGAGATTTAGAATCGCGTTCACGGCAAACGGCAAAAGCGAGATTTACGTTGGCAATCTCTCAAATTAAGAGACGAAAAATTAGATGATAACTTGGTCTTGTGGTTCAATTTGACGTTTGCCAGTCGCCGTAAACATGATTCTAAATCTCTTCGATAACTGCAAACGACGCAGGGCAAACGTGCCCGTGAAAAATGGCCAAAAACTTGATCATGTGATCATCTCCATTGTTTGCTGTGATGCTTAATCTCTCTTAATTCTCATTCGGGGATGGGTAAAGGCGTTTCACAGGAACAACACTTACCTTCGACCACTGAGAATAGACCCATTTGGTTCCTTCACAAGTGCCATTACAACGCACAAATAGAGGGGGCTTGGTTTTGCTGGGGCAGTGCTTGTCCAGGACCTCGCCCCAGCGGTCATTATGAACACGAACGCACTTAACAACTCGACTCTGGTAGCCAAGCCCGCAACGCGCTGAGCATCTTCCAGGGTTTTCAATTTGCCATCTGTGACAGAGAGAGGAAACACGGTCGTTAAACTGTAAACTGAAATAACGAAGCAAAACATTTTTTTGTGGCTACGGGCTTTTAAGGTGACATCATCGACTGATGTTAGTGTAGCATGAGAAAACAGCTGATCTTTCCCGTCGACACCACTGGTTTCCCCGTGAAATGACGTCTGAGGACCGAAAGCAGAAATTCCATACTGATGACGTGCCACTAGCCAGATGTGGGTAGTGCTTATGATTGGTCGGTCCGTGAGCGAAATTTGCTTCAACCAATCAGATGCACTACCCAGGTTCAGGTAATGACACGTTATCGATATGGAATTTCTGCGCTCGTTTCTCAGACGCCATTTTGTGGGGAAACCAGTGGTGACGTCGTGAAATGTAGACCGTTTTCCGAGGCTAATGTTACCGTTGTAACGCATGCTTTAGTAGATAGATTGCGCTACCCACCTGAGCCGACAACTAATATTACACTCCTCGGTAACAGTGCTCGGCCGTGTACTTTGATCACATCTGGAGTTGGAGACTAACTGACCATCAATAACGCGGACACATCTTGGTCGCCTTTTTCTTATGCCTAATGAAGTGATAACATGTAATGAGATTGGGTAACTTATGGTTTACAAAAGGTAAACGGCTTTAACAGAGCTCGCTTTTTGAGCAAAAAAAATAGAAGAGAGCTGGTAAGTGCAGTTTTCTCGTCAAAAGGTTTGAAAAGCTTTACTGCTTTTAGGTCAGTTTAGTTATGCTGTCCGCATTTTTTCTTTACAGCGAATGAAAATAAATACCTCTTCTTAGCAGAGTTCGAGGTCCGTACTGTAAATTACAATTACGGACCGGGTTTTTGTCTTTTGATTTAAAGCCCAGCACGAAACGCCCAAGCTATAAATGAAGAGGATTAAAGGAGGATTCGTAATAGAACAGAATGAGTAAACGACTAATAAAAGTTAGACTCCTAGAAAGGATTTAACAGGCCTTTAAAACTAGCTTTAATGGTCCAAGAAAAAACGCATTTCCATGTTGAAAAAACGAAAGTAACTTCATTTTGATGGTTTTTTATTTCGTCATGACAGATGAACTTGTACTGGCATAATTGAAGGAAAAGGAAATATCTCTTGCTTCCTTACAGCTGTTCAAGGACGAAAAATTGCCAAAGCACAGAACGAAAAACCAGTTAACTACTAATTAATCCTATGATTTTGGTCTAAGCGTATTATAAGTGCATTTAGCACAAACATGGAAAGCTTGAGAGAAAATGTTTATAAAAAACTCGGCACATTGGCATATAAAATATTCTTTGTAGCCGTGTAACGCAATGCTTCTCCCCGCTTTTCGCAGTTTAGCGTTGCGTTACCTCATAAGGGACAAGTCTTACCTTGGCATAGCTTATTACACTGTGTCCATCGACCCAGTCGATCCCATTTATAAACAAACTTCTTTGGTTCAGCTACCATTTTATTAAGACTATAGTGAACGTTTGGGGGTACAACATCCTCAACCTCAAAAACCTATAAAGTAATTGAAATAAGTTCTCACTTGCAATCACATACTCTTTAACACGACGCAAATGTTCCAAGTTAGTTAATAAGCATCAAGCGTAAAATTGGTGCGAAAAAAATTAACAACAGAAAACTGCGTTAAACTTCTTTGTATCTGATGAGTGGCCAAAGGCGACGCCGAGGACAAGTGCGACATTTTAATTTTGAGATCATTAAACATATATCGCACTTTCCAAAAAAAATTACCGATGTTCAGTTTTTTTCTGTTGAATATATAGTTACAGCACTGGATTAAATCCGGGACTCACCCACTGAAATTACATAAAATCTCTCGGAAGTTGACTGCGAGCGGTCTTTTATTTTCCCTCTTTATTTACCATAAAATTTACATTAATTAATTATTCGCTAGTCGCGTGTGGCTCTGAGGAAAGGGACGACTGCTCGTGGCCTAAATTCAAAGTTGGGCATCAATATGATTCCTCCCTCTGAACCGAAATCATTTGTCATGCAAAACGAAAAACCAATCAATCAATCCCTCTATCTATCAATCAATCAACAAATCAATCAAAAAAGAAGAGTAACAACGTACGTAGACTTTGACCGGCTCGGTGACTCTGCCATTAATCTTGATCTGTTCCATAACCTTTTCCGAGCCTGAGTACCATATTTTGGATCCTGCTGCTCTGAATTCTCTAACTCCAAACACAATGATCATCCCTCCGTTGAGAAGCCACCTACCGCTGGCACTTTGAAGGGCTGATAGGGACAGAGAAGGTCAATTAATGGCTCACGTTTTAAGCTATGTCAAACACGTCATCATGTGTTCAAACTAGGAATCTTAAGAATGTCAGAAATATTACAGCAGAATTGTTCGCTATGAGTTACTAAGCGTTATGCGTCCACCGCCTAGAATGCGGCAGGCAACATTGCGCACAGTATAGTCCGCTATATAGTACGCAGCATCGTGGGTCTTTTCGATTCCTTAAATTGCTGTGTGAAATATCATAAGCTAGCACGCATCATAGCTTGTAATGTTGTGCGCAACAGGTCTTCTCCCCTCAAGCTTTTACGTAATATCTTTCGTACTATTGTGAGCTATGATGTGCGTGGCATCGCGCGTTCACCCCTGAAACTGTTTCCTTCAACATCACTCACAATGTTGTCTATTATTTGGATTATTGGGAAAGTATCAGCGTTGCGTCCACTCATGCAATCCTTGCGATCAACATTGAGCACTGCATAAAGCGCTTTGTTATACGCCAACCCTTGAAATCACTTCGCGCAGCATCTTTCTCAACATTCAAGCCATGCTGCCCATAGGATCATATTTCCATCCACGTTTTTCTTGCCCACCTGTTTGCTTACATACGTACTATCAAGCGTGTACCCTTAAAATTGGCGTGCCCACACCCCAACAATTTATACGGAGCTGATTCTCAATCTCCTTATCCTCCCATTCTCTTAAATCAAAAGCGGAGTCTTTGGCGGAGCGAATCTAGATTAGGCTCAGCGGTCTGCGTTATGGAGAAAATTCAATAGACTTGAAGGAACTAAGAACGAAAAGCATTCTCAATCCCAAATATACAACACCTTGATTAGCACATACCTAGATAATTCGAATCCTCCCGATTTTTCCAACCATACTGTGTAACCACTATGTCCGTTGAATTGACAGGAATTGTAAAGATAAAATTATACCCTATAAACACAAAGGCAAAAACGATTACTTACGTCAACGTTTGCCGATCTTGATGTCAATAATCATCGTGAATGAGCTCAGGAAAAAAGCGTAATTCAGTTAATAAAACAATTTATTATAAAGATTTGGCATAAACTTGCCCAGAGCGACGCCTGTGTCTAGTGCTCCTACAAGCACATTTTCCTCGTTTCCAAACGGATCATTCTTTTTTTCTATAAAACGAACCATGACTACGCGATCGTAGTGATGACGTAGGCACGTGAACTGTGGTGTGTACTATGAGAAATCATTTTCACAAGCATTTTTTCGTCCACGCGGCAGGCTAGATTTAGTACAAGTTGGACGTCGGTCTGCAGAGAGTATGTCGGAGGATCATTTCCTGAGGACCCGACAAGCACCATACAATAATTGTGGAAGAAGGTCCTTCCTTTGCCCTGCGAAAGGCTAGACTTGGCTGTCCCGTCTTTAGTGGGGGGTTGTTAAAACAAAGTAAGCAAATAGTTCTCTCAATTAAATACATTAGCAGTTAACTAACGCACTTTTTTTACAGGTGTAATAAATTGGACTTGGGAATACGTTAAGCAAGCAATACATTACACAAGTAGCCACTCCTCACCAAAATTTGTTTCGTTGAAAGTTCCTGAGAAACGTCTACAGGATGAATTGTCACCGTCACACACTCCACATTTGTCAGTTTTCTTATTTGAGTTTAGCACTCTGTCACACCCCGCAGGCTGAAAATTTAAAAAAAATGAATAGATATAAAATTACATACATAACAAAAAAATCTAGAACGAAGGTGACGGCAAAACATTCTTGTATGGTGCACCATAACGTTTTAAAATGGGCTCAGTATTGCGGTTGATACAATTTTAGCTCTTTCCAGCTGATCACACAATTAAGTGTCAGAATGTTTGAACTATAGTAAAGCATACACACACAATCACTCAAAAATACAAAAGAGGTAATGGGGGCAGTGATCAACAAAACTAGAGAAGGTTTAAACGTAACGAATTGGCCGACATTTTTCAAGAGTCCATGGCTCATTTTGTTGTACGTCAATCTTTCTAGAGTCACATTTGACTGTTACGTGGCCGTGTTTTGCAACAAGAAAGTATGAAAACCCACACCTACCATACATTTTCCATCTACGCAAATGTCCGTGGTCTCATGGTTACATGGTGTTCCGTCAATGACTTTGTCTTTTAACTTGAAATAGATGGCAGAGCCAGACATACGACAATACAGTTTACACTGGTTTTGCTTGGAAACTGTACAGAGAAAAGAAATGGCAGCTCAATACGTTGACTTCAGGAAAAAAAAAAGGTATAAAAATAATGCTCAGTTATTGGTAATTTTGTTAAGACTACGACGTTACCATAGTAACTGTAAAAACTGTCGAACTTAGACAGAACTTAGACTTAGAAATTCTCGCATATGAGTTCCTTTTTTTGATAATTTTAAATACATTTACGGTAAGAGGCTCTGAGCGATCTTAGTTTTAATTCATTTTTTGGTCGGCTGTTTTACCGAGTTTACAAATTAATTTTTTCTTTTTCTTCTTTCTTACATTTTTGCTGAAAACTGTGAGTGATAATTTTGGCAAACCCACAGATTCGAACTTTTGAATTGACATGCGTCTGTAGGCCAATGACATCCCGAAACAATCCATTTTACAGTCGCTGTGTGAATTGTTCCTATAGCGTTAAACACGAGTATGAGTGTTTTATAAATTTTCAATCATGACGCGCAGCCCATTGTCTTTGGGCTCGACAAAACACGAACTGTGCGTTGGATAAACTGATTGGAAATTCTTGGGTGTACGATAATTTTATTCGGAGAAAATCCGAGATAAAAACTCAGTTACCTTTCATTAGATTTCACTTCACTCTCCAATCATTTTAAATTACCTTTATATTATCTTAATGATTGTGTTTTTGAGGACTGATTTAGTTATCAAGCTCTTACTTCCAGCGTACTTAGGAAGCCAGTTCGTGTTCCTGTACCTCTTGGAACCTAAACTCACGCTCCGCGCCTGTATATTTGCACACTGTATGGCACGGAAGTCCACAGAACCTTTAGGGCATTCCTGTCAAAGTTACAAATACAAAACAGTCAGTCAAGACATGACTGTAAACCACCTTCTTAACGGGGTGCGTCGTAAGTTAATGAATGGCCATACATTTTAGTCGAATAACAGAAATGTGATGGTGAATTTTAAGCCTGGTGAATACATGAGGAAGATGTTTATTTAGTCAGTGACACAGGTGGCCTGCAAGCAAGCTCTCCAGGGTGCTCTGGAGGCTGGGCGAGAAAAGGAAGGAGAGCTTGCAACTACGTCTCTGGAATTTGAATTCCACCTCCAATTCCCCTGTGGTTCCCCGTCGACTGAGCTGTCAGATTTCCGCAAATCAGTCAGCGCGAAGCCGAAACCAGCGCGAATGTAAACAACCATTGAAAAACACGTGGAAGCACGCTACATGGGTGATGACGTCATTACTAAAGACATCTCCGCCAATCAGCATTTCGCATCGACTTTTGCGGTGCAGATATTCAAATTCCAGAGACGTAGTTGCAAGCTCTCCTTCCTTTTGCCGCCCCGTCACCAGAGTGCCCCGGAAAGCTTGCTCGTAGGCTATGACACAGGCGGATGGAAAGAAAAAATCAGAGTACTCCATACAGTTGTCAAACCTATGACCTCCTGTTTAGTAGCCCAGCTCTACCAGCTCTACCACCAAGCTACATGAGACTCGGTGGCGGACCCGGGCGTGGGCGTGTGGGGGGGGGGTTGCCAAGAGACCCCGCGACTTTTTGGACTGCATGAAGGTTTTATGCCCCGTAAAAAAATTTTGTGTGGTGACGGGGGGGGGGGGGGGGGGGGGGGGGGGTCCAGGGCCCTCCTTTATTTTTGGACCAAACTGAGGCCTGAAGGGCCGAAAAAAAATTTTTCGGAGACCGTCCCCTCCCCTTATTTAAGGGTCTGGATGACCGCCCCCCCCCCCCTTATCTTAAGGTCTGGATCACTGAGACTCTTTGGAGCTGAGGAAACTAGAACTAGGTTCATGTGACGAACAGTCCTGCAAAGAAACATTCTGCATACTGCTGGGACTGGAATGTACAGTCCCTTCAGTCTTCCGAGCCGCCTGTGTAACTTGCTGAGTAAGCATCTTTCATTGGCCCCCCCAAAATGGATTTGCACATATTTGCTCCTCCTTGCAAATATGCCGCAGATTTGTAAATACTGAGGGGTAAATATATGGCAAAGATGGTAAATGCCACATTTGCACACCAAAAAACAGGGGGTGTAAATAACCAGGCAAATTTGGCATTTATCATGTTTGCGATATATTTACTCTGAACTATTTATATAGTTGAGACATATTTGCAAGGAGCAAATTTGTCCAAATAAAGTCGTTACTTAAATTAGTTGAGCGTTCATTTTAATTCCTGACCAAGCCAATCCATCTCAGCCTGTTGTCTTCAAAACTACATTTAAATACTTACTTGGGTGTTGCAGGACCTGAACCGTTTCCTTTTACCAATGCAATATTTTCCACCATTTTCAGGCCTGTAAATTCAAAGGATTAAGTGGAAACTCTCGCAGGGACCAGTTACACAAGTGTTGGCAAAATAAAGAATGAAAGTACAAAGTAAGTTATCCTTTTGAGTGTCACTATAAGGGAGTTTAAAGAGAGATCTTAAAAAAGGGCAAAGGCAAATTTTATTAACATCGCTGCGTTTATTAATCGAATTAACAAGGTTCTCGTCAAAGTAGCTTTTGAGTTTATGGATGAAATCCTATAGCGTGACCATGATGAAACCTCTTCAGCAGTACTTTGACATGGTACTATGTATGTAGTATGTAGTTCTAACTTCTGAATCTGTGAATGAAATCCTATGGTGTTACCATTCAAATGAAACCTCTTCAGCAGTACTTCGATATGGCACTATTTATTTAGTATGTAGTTCTAACTTTTGAGTCTGTGAATGAAATCCTATGGTGTTACCATTCAAATGAAACCTAAACGAAATTAAAGCGTTAAGGGACAGGGTGATATTCAATCGACAATAAACGTGACATTGAACTTACAATGGTTTGTTGCATTCCCTGTATGAAAAAGCTATTCCTCCGCCACACTTCCTTGTACACTCTTGATAGGGGCCCCACTCACCCCAGTTACCGTCCACAGGTTTCGGCCTTCGCTTCTTCACACATTGACCTCGAATGCACCACTGGAAAATGAAAAAAAAAAAAACATGAACAAAATGGAATAAGTGTTTTGTGATAATCACTACAAACGGAGTTTAAGGCTGGGCATCGTTAGCTAGTAGTTAAGGAATCACTACAAAAAATAAACCTGAAGCAGATCTTTCAATGAGCAACATCTCTGCACCTTTATTTACAGGAGCTTTAAAAAGACTTGTACTCACGGAGCGTTGTTTCATTGCACAGAAGATCAGCCACAATTATAAAACAAGGAGTAGTGAATTTAATGATAATGATGATGATGATGATGATGATGATAATGAGCAACATACTCGACGCCAGCTCTATGAGCCCGTTGATTCAGTACGCAAAAGAAAAGCCCTTTGAGATCATTTAACTAAACATCACTGTGCTGTGCCTTAAATTCAAGTAAAATCTCCAATTTTAAATTGTAGAATACTGAACTTCGAATACTAACATGGTTGCAAACGTTTCATTTGAATGCAGTGGTCATATGTATTGAGACTTGAGTCTAGTCTCTGGACGAAATTCTACCCAGGAACAAGACTATTTGAGGCTTTTTTTCACCGCACATTTCACGTTAGCAACTGTTCTGCAATTGTTAACAAATAGAAACTTAGCCTGCGAGCACGCCGCTCGCTCGCGCGTTCTCGCGAGACCTGTTTCACTCGCCCAAACAGGAGAGCTTGCTCGCAGGCTAATAGAAACTTAAAAAGGTAATTAGCACGCGGTCCACTTTAATAGGCCCTTTGCAGCTAGCCATTCACGTGGTACAAAACCGCCATACTGGAGAGCAAAAGTCGCACTGGCACAAGACCAACAAAAGGCAGACATAATTTTAAATGGTAATTTCCTTTGTTTGTGTTCTCCCAGTCCGACTTTTGCTCTCCAGCATGGCGGTTTTGGACCACGTGAATGGCTAGCTGCAAAGGGCCTATTGAATACTCCGAACATGGAGAGGAGCCAACCAAGGGAATTTAGTCATACTACGGAAGATACATAAGTAGAGTTTATGTCAATGTTTATCTTTAGTTTACGGGGTTAGGAGAATCGTCTTTGCTGCACAAAACTACATTTTGATTTACCCATCCCTTCTGTGGCTATTACCGAAATTTGTAGGGCGGCGAACCAAATAAGGAATTATCAGAAAATTACATAAATTGTTTGAATCGTCCTTCTAATTTGATTACGTCACTTTGTTGAGATCTACGTTCCTACGAAAGGGACTTTTTCCGGATGTTTACACGTTCTTCTAGTCCATTTTAATCCAAAAGGAAAACACTTGTCAGTCACTACTCAATTTGACCTATTTGGGAAGTGAAGCTCTTAAGATTGTAAACAAATTGATCAATTAAATAGCAGAAATTGTTTTTAAATTTCTAACCAGAGGCCATGGCCTTCGTGGTATAGAAAACGAGGACAAAAAAAATACAAAAACATATCATGGCCTTCAAGGTGTCAATTAAAATATTACAAGTAACATTTAGAAACAACTTAAGTATTTCCTTATTGCTCGGACAACAAGCTATTTTTATGTCTGAATTACTTAAACTGGAAAATTTTGCTCGCGTGATTGTTATTGAGGGGGTCAAGTAGTAAAGTACGCAATATCAGGCAATATGCATTCTAAAAGAAAAGACAGGAAATTATATGTTCTGCTATGTTAAAGATCAACACACTGATGGAACGTTGGAAAGAGTCATTCAACATCGATATGTTTAGGAACTTTAATCTTGTTAAAATGGCCGCGTAAAACCCGAAAAACAACATAATCTGAAGTTTTAAGATTTTCATGAATGTTTGGTGATGACAGGCTCACAGGCGATCGTTCAATGTTGAATCTTCACTGTTTCACTGCCAGGTAAAAGTTCAACACAAGTTCTAAATTTCATTTTGAAAAATTCTGCAGATCAAATAGTCCCTTGTGAAAATACTACTAAAGAAGTTTTATTTGAATGATCACACCGATTTTTGATCAACAAACGTCAAGTCAGAACCACCTTACAGGATGCGCATCATTCACTCTGAGAAACAGGGGATGTAGTAGACGAAAAGCAAAAGTAATTGCAGAACAGAGTAAGACATCTAAAGAAACTCCTCCGATAATCTTGTGTTAATGGAATTCTTCCAAGTACCCGACAATGCCATTTTGCCCATTTATCAGATCTTCTTGATGGTCAAAGGGCAGAATGGGAACCGAAGTAATAATAAAAATCTTCCCGCAACTTTTGATTAGTGACCATTAGTAAATTCCAGCATGTTGATAACTGCAATTTCCCAGGCCTAAACCTATTTAAAGAAATGAACCCCTGAAACGGTACCAAGAGAACCTTTATAAGAAATATTTGAAATCATTTGGAATCAAAAACCCGGAGATGACAGATTGAAAACAGTAGCAACAGTCAGTAATTTCTGTTTTCTGAGCACTTGCAAAATCGGAAAACAACTTGGCGAAGTACTTAACGGAACAGATAGTGGTTTTTAAGAGTGTTTAAATAGGATCGTTAGTTCAGGAAAACTTTTTTAAAAAGTTCAAGCGGTTTATTAGTATAACACCGAAGTGTAAAATGCTCCGTGATCTGGAAGTATCGAATGAAAACCTTGACATGGTCCATGCATAAGCTATTTTTTACGTTTTCAACTGAGCATCACCCTGTATCCAGGGTCAATTAAAAAGACATGTTTCCGGCTAACTCCTTACCTTTGATACATGGATTGATGCATGGATATGTTTCATTTTTAATTAATGAAACTTCTTGAGTAATACTTTTTCACAGTGCAAATCATTTTCTGTATTACGCAAAATGTACATGCAATTGGCCTCTATCTTGAAATTGTCTTTAGGAAGTTCCATTGGAAATGAAAAGGCTAATAACTCCTATTGGGAAGCATGGTACGCTCTATTTTATAGTGAGCCCTAAAAACTTTGGTGTCCTTCTAATTACCACTGTTTAAAAGTCGAGGTTAGTCTTTAGGTTTGCAAGTGCACGGGATAAATGGTACGTGCTACTTGTTACATAGAAAGAATTTTCTATTCCCCGAATTAGTGACATTCGAATAGTTCAAGTGTCTATCGGCTTAAGTTAATTCTTACATTTATCAAGTCAGCCGTTTGCCATGTCACGCTGGTGTAGAGGGCATCTCTATTACTAATCTTATTAAAGTTCTCATATTGGCATCAATCAATGTTAGCAAAAAAACTCATTAACATTTGACTTACTGCAAGAGCCATGCTCACACGTTTAGGTTAGTGTTTTATACACAGCATTGCAATCAAAACGTTTCCTCTAAAAGGACCTTATCCACAGACTTGAAAAATTAGAACCTACTTGTACAGCAAAATGACTATACCAAAGGATCGTGCAGGCCATTTGAATGGTAACCTATGATCAATCGTTCTTCTTCTTTTTTGTTTTTGGAGGTGGGGCGAAAGTAGGCGAACGGGCCAATGGAAGAGGGGAAGAAGGACCACCTGATCAAAAGCTATTAATAGAATTCCACCTACAGGCAAAAATTAAGAACATGACACATATGGATTAAGGTAATGTGTTATGTTTGTTTTGCAACTGGAACAAATGCCACCGTGCACGGGTGCCTTGAGGAAGTGGGTACACTAGAGAGTTGAACTCACCCTCTTCCTCGCACAAGGGGTTCCGTCTGCCCAAGGCATATGGTGAGTGGAGCATCCCCTTCGGTTGTTGATCATTTTTACGCACCAAAGACGCCGACAAGGTTCCTTCAAGGCAAATAAGAGAAATCAACTTGAACTGAGAATAAATACTCTCAATTAAATCACATGGTCATTTTCAAGGAGTTATAATAACTCCTCTAGTGGGGCTAATTTAACTCCTTGCTGTGGAGTTATTTTTTGGGGAGTTATTTTACTCCAAAAAGGAGTTTACAGAACCCTTTTTCAGAAGTAAAAGTAACCCCAGATATTGAGGAGTTAAAATAACCCCAAAAAAGGGGTTATCCTGTACCTAAAATTTTTACTCCACTTTCAGAGTTAAATTAACTCCAAAAAGAGTAAAAACAACCCATGTAAGAAACTCTTTTTCAGGAGTAAAAATGACCCCAAATTCGGAGTTAAATTAGGAGTTAAAATAACCCCAAAAAAGGGGTTATCCTGTACGTAAAATTTTTACTCCATTTTTGGAGTTATAATAACTCCCTAAAAATTACGGTGCACCTAGATGATATAGACCAAACCCTCTTTTTATGCTGTTAGTTTTTATTTTTGAAGTGCTTTTCAGTTGCTCATAGACATGTTTGCGTCCCTGAGATTTTCGTGAATGACAGGAAACCAACCATTTTTTATGTTAAAGATAGAGAAATGATTGTACTGTTGGGTCAAAACCAAAGGGGAAAGGGAAGATGAAAGAGGAAGAAAACAGGACGAATAATCAGTAATTATACCCTAAGAGTACCATTAAATCTGCCCTCACACATTATACTTAGTTACGTCTCTTGAATCAAACCTAAAGACCAGGAGATTGAACAAGGATCGATGAAAATTAGATAGATCGATTTTTCGACATATTAGTCACATTGGCACCAGAGGTATACAGAGTACAGACTGGATGCAACGGGAGAATATGACTAATGATGGCTTATGTAAAGTACTAACCATAAAGGGACAAAGCGATGAGTTCTCGCCAAAAACCATTTTGCACTGTTGGTCCACACTGTAGAGTTCACCAGGAAGTCTATCGCGATATTTCAGTTCTGCTTTTTCGAGTGGTTTGTCCGCAAGGCACGAACCGTCACCTAACCTTAGCAAATGGCAAAAATATGCGACAATTAAAAGAATTCAATTAAAAAAAAAAAAATTAAATTGAGTGGACTAATTATAAATTATCAAGAGTACTTAGGATAGTAGAAAACAGCGTGCGTATATAGACGTTTTTTTACCGTATTTTTTATAACAACACATACATAACTGTGGAAGATTCAAACCTTAACACAAAAAATGCCAATACATAATTAGATTTATATAAATATCGTAGACTAAAGAAAAGGTTCTCTTTAACTTACTCCAAGAACTGGGTGATTTTATCTCGACTGCAGTTGGACCAAGACCAAGGCTTTGTATCGAAACTGAGGGACGGAGCCATGAGGCGCTGGTCTCCTCTACTCCGAGTGCACGGGTTGTTATCGCCATCATGGGGGAGGCTAAAACTGCGGGGAAATAAGATATTCTGCTTTCTAAAAACGGAAACAACAGGACCGACTGAATAGCCTGAGAAAATAGCCGACACTTCGCGACGCTACCAAATGTCGGCTGTTTTCTCAGGCTACCAACAGAATCGAAGAAATGCAACTGAATAACTTTAACGTAATAGGGGAAAATGTCTAGGAACGTCCTATTTAGAATCCATCTAGAACGCCGTTTATGGCAAACGTCAGATTCAAGTTGACCTATTTCAAAAGAAGAAAGTCCAAAGAAATTGTTAAGGATGAAACTAGCATGAAACTTCTTCTTATTCTTTTTTTCCGGTAGATATAACAAATATTAAACGACAACTAAAGCAGAATCTCGGTCACTTGGCACAAATTGACATTCGACGTTTGTTGTGAGTGAAGTGATTGTAAATCTCTCGAACAACTTGGATTTGACATGATCACGGTTTGGGCTTGTCATTTATTACGGAAAAAAGGCTCGGAGATTTTTAATGCAGACAATGTGATAGCCAGCAACACATTCCACTTCATACGGTATCTGTACTTACACATGTTCTAGATACTTCATATAAGGTACTTACACGTGCCCCAACTCGTGTGCAATAGTGTACGCTGTCCCCAGTCCGCTGTCTTCTGCTAAAGCACAGCTTCGCCCTGGGAGACACATTGTTCCTAACTCAGCAAGACCTGAAAAAAATAATAAAACAAAAGAACAATGTCTTGAAGTTAGAAAACAGTCATGGCGTTCACATGGGGCTTGTCGAAGTCTAGTAAATCAGGCCCCAGTTTAAGACAATTGTTCGACCCACCGCGCGATATCTTTATTTAAAGTGGGTGATACCAAATAAGCCGAAAATGCTGTTCTAGTCCACACTGGAAGTATTTGTGAAGCTGTTCACAACATAAAAAGATGTTTACCTAATGTGTCACACTTTCCAGGGCGTCTGCATAAATTTCTCCTGCGAGAAAGAAAAATAACTTTAAGCACAAAAGAACGATCCATCAAATTAAAGATGTCATATATGCCGTTGCGATTCATTTTAGCCCTGGCTAACATGAACGTACGCTTGTTATTCTTGATAGATATAATCAGTTTATTACTCATTCAAATAATTTCCTAGTTTATAAGATTCATATTTCTCGCATTAGCGTTTGCCTGTTACTAGGCAGTTCCAGGGTGTGAAATATTTTTTTTCTTGAAGACATTCTACAAAGCAGCTGACATCTTTCGTGTGTATGCATTGCCAAAACAGAGGAGTTATTGCGTACAACTGAGGGTTTAACTTGCAGGTTTACAGGAACAAAGGTCTTGTAACTCGAACCCTAACCCTATTTCCAAGACCTCCAGTCGTGTGCCCGCCTGTAAATGAAAACCAGGCGAACGTACAATATTTTCAGCCTGTGTGCAGGCGCCCCTTCCCTTCCTCGATTTGAGGGGAGGGAGGGGGCGGCTGCACACAGGTTAATAATTTTAATGACTCCATCACTGTCATCAATCGTGGAATAATACCACGCATCTTCCAAATTTGATCAGCGCTTGCTTGTTATGAAAAATTAGCCTGGGAACTTAAAGCCAAACAGAAACGGTCAAATATTTGAGTGAATAATAGGTAAAAATCTCCAAGAGGTGATATTACTGGCACGTTGCATTGCTAACTGGTTAAAATGTAGCTCCTTAATATTTTAGTCTTTTGATCTTCCTATAATTTTAATCATTTCGTTCTTTTTATTTGCATTTGATAATGGTGACATATCGTCATGTTTTTGTATCGTGACTTTTTCTGCCTTATATGTTTCACAGAATCTTTCGTTATCTCAAAACTCAATTAAGGGCGCTCAACTGGGGTGAATCTTACCTTGTTAGAAGAACCGCGGTATCGTGGTGTTCTGGGTCCTTATGTGGTTTAGTCATCACCCGATTCTGCCAACGGCAAAAGCTTCTAAGAGTGCGAGTAGAGTCTGAGGAGATATGGAGGCCCCTCTGTAAGAAAAATAAAATAAAATAAAAACAAGGAAAAGAAGAGGCATAAATCTTAAGAAAGGTTATTCTGAGCGCGCCAAGTCCTTTTGGGAGATAGTCGAGCTAGCGAAACGCAAGCGCGCGTAAAAATCACCCCACGCGAGAAAGGCGAGACGCGGCGGCGAGAGAGAAAATTTTTTCACGCGCGCTCGCGTTTCGCTCGCTCTGCTATCCCTGAGGAAAAATAGGGACTACTCGTAGTCTACATCAGTAACAGTAATTTGTCCTTAAAGTATCAGGGTCTCTGTGTCACGGTTAATATTGTCAACATCGCTATCATACTTCCTTGTGTGCTATAGGACTTCAGGTTAGCGATGAAATTACTTGTAATCGATGATAAAATTACAGCTTCTTGTCCAACAAATATGCCTTCTAAGCATTATATTAAACGTTACGAAAAAGAAAAACTGAAAAACTGTCAGGCTATATAGGAAAAGTTTTTCAAAATCCACAATTGCAATGCGTTTTAATCATCAAGCTTGTCCTTTCGTGCCCATGCTTTTTTGTATTTCTTTATACCTTCTTTCCTTAATGTTTTGAGCAATTTTTTTTTTCACTTTTCACTATTTGGGTGACAGTTCCTACCGTTAGAATTCTGATATAACCTTTAATCAAACATACAGTGATAAGCAAAAGCATGACGGGAAGAATTCGGAAACAGATTGTTCATCAAATTCTCCTCATATGTACCACATCAAATGTACATAAAACAGTGTAGAGAACATGCAAGCTGATAATAGATTTCAATCAGTTATGCTCCCTTACGAAATTAATACATACTATCCCATTTTTAAAAACCAAGATCCTTTTTTACGAACAGTATCCAGTGATTCTTTCATTTCAATTTCCTACCTGATTATATTCCAGTAAGACAATCTTTACCACCACGATGTTAATGGGATTACCGATACTTCTGTCTCGGTACACCTGAGATACCTTTGGAAAAAGAGGAAGGAGGAAAAAAAGCAATTTTTTTTTTCCGAAACCGACGTCACTTCTTTGACTATATGAGCATAGACGATGGCATAATTGTTTTCTACTTGTTAAATGCTTAAAACCCAGACGGAAATGAAGGCTTTCCGTAGACAAAACAAGCTACCCCACCGTGCGACATTTCAAAGACGAGATTATCGTCGTAACATCAAGAAGCAACACACAGGCAGAGAGTTTCTTGGTTCGCAAGATTGAAATGTACGTGTCGTTAATGTGCGGTTGCTAGCTGTTGATACCCATCGTGTGTCACAGCTTGATCAGTGAAGCCGTTTGCGCGCACTAAACCGTTTCTGAGTTAACCACGTGGTGATGATTCCGTGATCGATTATTTGAAACGTGTAACGGCATACCAGCCAGGATTTGATCTGATTCCGAGACGTAATCTTGTTGTTTAAATTAACATAAATCTCCCAGCGGAGATACTAAGACGATTATGATCAATTGAACTCTTCTGAATACTCAAGGTAAAACATGCTTTTTTGGAATTTTTTTTCCCTCGCTGCAGATAACTATTCCTTCCCACTAATATGAAAATTTTCCGGATCACCATAGTAGCAGTTCAAATAAAGGATACTCGGGTTTGCTAAACACAGGGGTTTAACATTTACGCCTGTTTTTCACTATTGAGACAGGCAGAACTCAAGCTCAAGTTTAAAGACGTACACACGTCTTATGTCCAGCGAAAACTGATGAAAGCCAGGACAAACCTGTTTTTCCCCACTGAGGAAGGCATGAAATAAGCACAAGTCCCGAAAACAAGGGTATTGTGTCAAATGAAAACCAACGCTGACAGAAGACGGTTATTTCGTATTGAGACAAAAAGAACGCAAGCACAATTCCAAACACAAGAATCTTGTGCCAAGTAAAAAAAGGAAGACGCCGATACAAGCCCAAGAAAATGAAACCGTTTTGATCCTCTTCTGTTTGTACTGGTGTTTGTGCTTCACTGTTCTAAGCTGTTTGCACCATAAATTTAAGGACAACTTTGCTTGCGTTGCTGGGGAAAACTACAATCCTGGACAAAATGAACGGAACAATATAGACCCCCCCCCCCCCTTACACCCCTAAAATCAAGGATGGGAAAATGGCGCGTTTCACGGCTACATGCTTGATTTTCAGGGGGATGAAGGCATGCTGTTCCATTTTATTCTGTCCTGTAGGATTTAGGAGTTTGCTACGAGACCTTACCACACCCATGAGAGTAAGGATGTAAGCTTGCAAATCAGCCTTGCTTTTAAAAGCGTCAACCATCGTCCTGTCAGCTACAACCAGTGTTTCTACAAAACTTTCATCGGTCGACCGTCTCTTTCTTGATCCTTCTCTACTCCTATTGGCGTGATGAGCGTGCCGTCCTCTCAGCAGTGGCAGGGGTTTGTTAGTATCTGTAAACCGCAAGATTAAGAGAGAAAACACTAGTAAGTGATTTGTAAAGGATCGGTTTGTGTTGTGGCGTCGTAAGACGATATAGAACAGCTTGATAGAGACACTTATCTAGTGTCGGAGTGAGAATAACTGTGATAGTACACAATGTACGTTGGCTGCGTGCCTCGTGGCGATATCTAATTAGAAAATAGATGAAAGAAAACGAAACACAGTACCGTTGTCTGGTACTGCTTTAATACCATGGTCGTCATTCCATTTTATCCACAGAACCAAACATTACAACCTCATAACTGTACACCCAGTGGTGCTGTACGATCACTGAATTTTGGCGCAAGCACAATAAATAGTACCTAAAAAATGTGCTGGAATTGAATCACTTTTAGCTACTTTTGTTTGAGTAACAACACACTCAAAGTTTGGCTTTCATTGCTTGACATGTTACGTGACATTAAAAATTCTAGGAACGCTTTCCTTTACATTCTTTCCCTACTTTCTCTCAAACCCTTTTTTCTACGTACGAATGGTTTGAGACCTGAGTAAGAGCTAAATTTCTTTTTGGTGAAATAGTTTGTTTGGTAAAATGCCTGTGCAAAAGTTTGAGGACTTAAGTGATCAAAGCTTTGGTACCAAAAAGCGACCACACGAGACTGTTTTCGTGATGTGACTCCAGCATTGCCAGAGGTAAGGTTCTTTGTTGGATTTCTTTTTCGCTAGTATACAAAAAAAAGAATCACCCAGTGAGAGTAATACAATTAGATCAAGAAGACTGGTTGAAGAGGATATCACTTTGATCAAGGCATCTGATCGCTATCATTTAAAATCGATCACGAAAACATTTACCTTGTTGAAATGTGTAACGAATCCACGGTTTCCGTAAGTGACTGTCCTGCGAAATGACAGAAAGTTTTTCACGAAAACATTGCGTGGTGATAGAAACACGTCTGCGGCCATAAATTTTGGCAAAATTCAGTTTTCCGGTTTGTCTGTTTTGAGGAAAACAGTAATTTGTCAATGACTATCATGCTGGGAATGGTGATTTAATTCCAGCTGCAAAACGATTCATAGGCGCGCGAAATCCCCTTTCGTCACTATAAAAGAGCGAAAGGAGTAAGCATCAGAAAGCCTGTTGTCTTGACTTTTTCTCCAAAATCTTTGGCTCAGAAAACTACGTAAAGAAAAGCGTTGACAGCATTTTAGATCTAACATTAAAAACTCAGCGTGTTTTTAAGAACAAAAACATTATTTTTGTAAAAAAGAAAACATGAATTTCGAAAATCTGAAGCATGTGTCACCTTTGCGCTAGACGATGACCTCGTTTGTTCAAGGCAGATTGATAAAATCTTTTCGTGTCAGGGCTTAAAAATTAATGAAAAAGACCAAAGAGGGTTCAATAAACAATCTTGCTATTAGTGAGTTGTTTTTGGAAACGTTTTTCTTCCTTTAGCAATGAACAAAAAGAAAGCCCCGTGGCACACCGGAATATAAACAAGGGGGATAAAATTTTAAGCTTGGTTTCAGACGGTAAGACTCTAACAAAACTAATAAGGCAAATTGGATGATAGAATCGGCGGGGAATTTCCACCTTCACGTGTAGTATTTTACGACACTTACTTCACAGGATAGTGAGCAAGGCCATCGGTTCACGATAAGTGAGATCACGTGCATCTCTCTCCCGTCACGCACTGTCCCGCGCATGCACGAATCCACAAAATTTGCCCTCAAAGGTCAATAAAGCAAGCAGTGGGGAGATGTGCAAACCAGTTTTTCCAAAATAAACCGTGATTTCCTGCATTCACTATAAACAGCGAACGACTCATCGTAAATGGCGTTTAAATCTTTGTTTTGATAATGTCATCCATAAAACAAACAGTTAGCCAGTTATCTTGGTTATTAAACGTATTTATTTTTCTTTTACACTGAAGCGGAGCCCATCTGATATGGTGGTGCTTGAGTCCAGACTATGTGAATGAAAAAGGCCATTGTCAGTGTAATTTATGTAGATAACCGCGCGCCGTTTTAGGGGAAAGACTTTTTGGATAAGAGCGGCAAAATCAAAAGCTTGCGGCAGATTTTCTGCGCCATTTTTAAAGGGCGCGCGCGTACTTGGGTAAGATGGTGTGAATGTGATGTTAACATGCAGGTTTACCTTTTAAACCACAGATTGCGGGTCCGTTGCTAAGGCTGTTTCTTTCAGTTGGATGACGAAATATGATATGGAATTTCCTGAATTGTGTACTTGCATTAGTGTCCTGCTCTTTGGTAGGCTCTATAAAATAACGCTCGCCGCTTGTGACAAAGGAACCTCGCTATAAAACA